TTTTTCTCGGTGTAGTCCTAAACAGGACACACTACTTAAGAAAGGATTAAGATAAGCCCTGTGAATAAAATTTGGAATGTTGCCCATGGAGTCACACCAGACAGATGCACAAAATATCAGGAAATTTTCTGAAACAATTGCAAATTCTGTTTAACCCGAAGGAAGTCACTACGAAACAACTTGACTGTATCTTTCCGAAAGGTACCTCTTAATGATGTATACTGATATATCCAACAAATGTTTCTTGTTATCACAATGAGTTATCATACGTACTTGTAAATAACCGTTTAAGTTTTATTCATGATGTAATAGTCTCATCTATTATATCTAAAAATGCTCATTACACACTCACTCATTCACATCTTTTTTTTTTTTGCTGCCAGACTTTGAAACTTTCATTGATACATGTATCACGCGTTAAGTCTCAAACGTGACCACACTATTTTTGAAAGCGTAAGGCGTAGTACTTTCGAGACGCTACTTTAGACGAAACGAAAAATCATTCATTAACTTAATTAAAAGAGCGTCAAGTTAATGTGAAAATTGATTATTGATAAACAAGATACGGGTCACAACAGGGGTTACCAATAATTAAATGTGAGGAAACGTAAAATCATTAGAAAATTTTGATTTCCTCTATAGCAATTAATACTGTGTTTATGCAAAATTTCAACAATTCGCCTTGTTTAATATTTATCTTTGCGTTTGAGTATATACTTGAGATACTTGATACAGAAGTTTCAACGTGCTACTGTTTGAGACCCTGAATTTTTCTTTCTTTTTTTTTGATAAAGTATTATGGATGACCTTGAACGATGTTAGTTTATCAATTTACTTCTAATTTATGTAGAATTTAAAGCACGTGTCCACAGCATATAAATCAAAGCGCGACTGAGATAAAAATTTAAAATGCGACAACTTAGAAACATACTTTTCCAAGTTTTTTTTTGATGCTGTTAAAGGAAAACTAGAGTTTAGAAATTAAATACATAATTGCTTTTTTTTTCTTCAAAGGAACAAAATCATATTTTGAGTAAGTTTGATTATATTTTACATTCATTTTCTTAAAGTTTAAATTCATTTCTTTTGTATTGTTAAATTAAACTTAGTTATTACTCTTGTTAAATCAAAGCTAAAATATATTTTATTTGACTCTAATAAGAAGCTTTCTTTCAAAACTTCACTTATCCGTATTTTTTTTCCAAATGAATTATCTTTTTTTTTTCATTCTTATTTAATTTCAATTTCTGAGATCTTTTCTTGAGAGGTATAAAAGACTAAGAGGCTTTTCTTGGGGTGTTTAAAAAACGGCTGCTTCATGAAATAATATTTTTCCACATTTTCTAAAAAACTTGTTATAAAATCAAATTTTTAGTTTTTAAAAAATATGTAAAAAAAAAAACATTTTTTTTCTCGATATGATTTTTCCATAATATCTTTTCAATACTCTTTCAAGTTTACCTATTTTATTTTTTTTTATTATCATTTTTTTTTTCAGAAATAAAATTTGACCACAAATCAAAACCTTCTTTACTGCATGAGAAAAAAATTCAATTTTGTTCTTTTTATTGTTAAATAAATTCTGCGATTTGAAAATTTTAAATGATTAATATCAAAATTTTTGAAGGAAAAGCATTTTACTATTTTTTATTGTATTACTTTTATAACTGCTAGGTAGTTTAAATTGTTAAATTAATTATTTATTTAAATTTAAATTAGTGTAACGTATCATATAGAAAAAGTCAAAACAATATTTAGTTTCGAAACTTTAAATTAAAATAAATCCATAAATATTGTGATGCTTGGAAAAGGTAGACGTTTTCGTAACGTTGTGACAGTTTATGCCAAGAGGGGGGAAATAACAACTTAAGTGGAACACAAATTTTTATTAAAATTCAAAATCAGCAGATCAAATATTTTCGAATTATTTTTCTATATATTCTATAATTCATCTATCTATTCTAAATTCTATTCTAAAATCCCTTTTAAAAACGATAATAAAAAAAACTATGATTGAGTATATAAGTTTAAAAATTTTATTTTAAAATAATGTGATTTATGGAATGAGATGTCAACACCATTGAGTAAAACTAATGATACTTTTTTAATTCAATGTGTTTAAGAGTATTTGGTATTTATAAAGAAAAAATAAGGTTTAAAGTAAAGCATATTTTCGAATTTCAAAAACAATACTGCATCGAATTTCTCATTTACATCAATATTTTATTACTAATTAATTGTATTTCTGATAGCAAACTTAAATCTTATTTCATGTAAAATAAGTATACATATAATAATTTTTATTGTTATGCATACACACAAATGCCATTAAAATACGTAGTTAAACATTGAAACACACAATATGTAATTAATGTTTATAATGTTAATGCCAAGGGGGAGAAGTATTTGTAAAATTGTGTAAAAGTACAATTTGTGTAAAAGGGGGGAGGAGTAAAAAATATTGGAAAAAAGTTTGGCATCAAGAGTGGATCACCTCTCTTCGAAACACCTTCTTTTTATAATATGCATTTGAATATATAAGCTGTCAATTATTTATTTTCCAGGTACTAAAATTTTTATACACTTAGCTATTAATCAGAAAATATACGAAAAAATTTGTATTACTCATTTAATTATTAAAAATAAATTCGATAGAATGATTCACTTAACTTATGATAAAGAAATTGATTATACACTATAAACTATTATTGATATTAAACTCAATAAAATGATCAACTTTATTTTTTTAAGATAAAAAGTATATTTTGTTTACAATATTATATTAATCGTCAAAAATACAAAAAACATATACAGTTTCTCATTTAGCTTTATATTAAACTCTATGAAGTGATTTACTTTTCTTTTTGCAGAATGTAGACATATAAAATGCCAATTATCGATGCATTTGCTTGATAGTTGCTTCGGTATTTTTAAAAATAATTTTAAATACAGGTGTTAAATAACGTACATTTCTTGGCCCATAATTTTTATTTAAAAAAAAAACAACTAAATAGGGGAATTTAGAAAAATGAAACCAATTTCAGCTATAAATATTTTTAACACAAAAATATAAATTCCCGGAATCACTTTTGAAAATATTCTACATGGAGGTTGTCTCAACTCTACTTATGAAGAGAATTTTGATACGATAAGAATAAAAGAAGGAAAAGAAATTTTCCTTAAAGCCAATATGTAAAGGATGTGACTTATTTTAAGAAACACTTGATAAAAAGCTAGAGTATGTTTCAAACAGTCTGCGCATATTTTCAAAGCGTCTGTCCTTTCAAACAAGTTTGAAAAGGAATATTTTTTAAATGAATAATGGATTGGACTACTCTATTTAATAAAAGTATGTTTATCATCGATAGTATTTCATTATGTTTTATATTTAGTATACATTTTTAAAACTCCTTGTACTAAAGAATATTATTTAAATAATGATACCTCCCTGTATTTAATTTAAACAAATTTAAGAATAATGTGATTGTTTGGTTCTTCGAATAACTAATTCTCTACACTGTAAAAAACTACGGATCAAATTACGATGTTAAATACCGGCACTTTGGATGCATGATCCGTAAAATCCATTTTTACCGTAAAATATTATAACGTAAATTTTACAATAATATTTATTTAATTAGAGTGATTCAGTGATTTAACGGCACTTATTACAGTAAAAATTACGGTACATCAATTTTTTGTTCTGTACATGTAAAAGTGGATAAGTAGTGGTTTCTGTAAAAATGGACTTTACAGTAAAAAATACTGGCACCTTGAGTGTCGATACTTTTTATTGCAATTTGATCCAAATTTTTTTTCACTGTACGTTTTATAAAAACTTTTAAAAGAATTGCCACAATCAACTAAATATTTTTACATTTTATTGGTAAAAGTAAAACACATTATTAATATTTGTTTTTACGAAACAAATTTTCTATTAGATTACAGTAATTTTTTATCTATTATATTTCAAAAAAAATCTTTTACATTGTTGAAATATTTCCTGGTTTACTCTTTCACAAGATTTAACCAACGTAATCCTCCCGCTTTTTTGATTAATAAAGAGGTACTCTTAATTACATCGGTCTTATAGAAGACGATGCTTTTTGTACAGTTAATGAAAATTAATTTATCATAAAGTTCTCCGCTTTCAGGGAAGTAATGTATCGATTTATTAATTTTACCAATATTATTACTCAAAATTAACATTTCTTATACAGTTTTTACTTTCGTTTAGTTAACATTCGAGCAAATGTTAGTTTTTAATTTGTTAAATACTGTTCATTATTTCAATAGTTTGCTTTTAACAAACATTTTAAACTTAGATCTGTTAAAAATTCAAAAATAATTCTTAATTTTATTCTTAAAAAAAAAGCAGATTTGATTTTTTAAATGGTTTTAACTTTTTAAATGGCGATATATAAGAATAATTTTATTTCTAAACACCTTACTTGTAAATATTCCTAACGGAAATTTAATTGGAGTTGCATTTTGTTTATTAATTCTGTTTTTGTTGGTTGTGAGTAGAAAATTGAACAAATAATGAAAAGATATAATGACAAAAAATAATAACAAGATTAAGTTTTCCATTAGATTTGTATTATGAAGTTAAGTTTTCCATAAGAATTTAATTATTTTCTTTGCAGTTTATATTAAAAGAAAAAAAAACATAAACATTCCGAGAAATCTATAACTGTCTTTCCTCATAAAAAGGAGAGTAAACAGCACTAAAATATTACTTATGAACAAATATTTTTAACCCTCATATCGTTATTTGAATTTTTTTTTAAATTCCAGATCAGAATTCTCTATTTAAGCATGTTTTTTAAAATAAAAGTAGCTTATTTTGCTACTTTTATACATGATTTAAGTCAGCTAACTCACTTTCTAATCCTAAACCATGAAATGAATCAAGTTATCCATGTTACTTTTGATACTCATTTCTTAGTATTCTCACTACAATATTTATCCTGTATTAATAGGTCTTAATTTCTTTTTAGGAAAAATTTAAGAAAACCTCTGTCTGAACAAGATGGCGTTTAAGAACACAACAGTTTATCTCGATTCCTTAAAAATGAATTTACCTCAGCCACCTATGTCAAAATTTCGCGTTCTTAAAAATCTGTTTGTAGTATGCATCGGATTTCTATTTCTGTTCAGTGCTTACCTAGGATTAGCAAATCTCCAAAGCACTCTGAACATAGAGGACAACATAGGAATGATTTCTCAAAGTGTCATCTACGCTGCTATGATTATATCATGTTTGTTTCTTCCGAAACTCATAATTAGAAAATATGGACTCAAAACCACCTTGGTATTAAGTGCTTTGATGTTTATTCCATACATAGCTGTAAACTTCTATCCAATTATGCCACTATTTATACCTGCATCTGTTATCTTAGGTCTGGCATTTCCCGCTTTGTGGTCAGCTAAGTGCACTTACCTAAATGAAATCAGTGAGCTGTATGCTAATCATATTTCAGAGACGACCGAAGTTGTGACACCTCGCTTCTTTGGAATATTCTTCATGACATACCAAAGCACTCAGATATTTGGTAACTTGGTGTCTTTTTACGTTTTGAAACCGTCAGAAGGCAATGAAGTAGTGGCCATGTCCAATTACAACGAGTCTATCACGTGTGGGGTTGATTTTTGCTTTGAAATTAATGACAACCTAGTTGCACCAAGCGATGATAAAAGATATATTCTTATTAGTATTTACTTGATGTGTGCTGCAATGGCTGCTCTAATTATGGGATTGTTCTTGGACTCTTATGAAAGAAAAACCGTAGATGAAGCAGAAAGTCTGTCGTCTAGGGTGCTTGCTACTCTTAAACATTTGAAGAATCCAAAGCAAATGTTATTGTTGCCTTTAAGTATTTTTAGTGGTCTAGATCAAGGTTTCTTTCTGGGAGATTTTACAAGAGTAAGTATCAATTATTTTTTGTATCAGTATAGGGGCTTTACTTTGGAACTCATGATTGCTTCGCAATAAGTTTCGTTTTCATTTGATTAAAAACGAATTGTTATACCAATATTAAAAAGGGCAAAATCTTAGTATGCATTATACGCTAGCGCGATTTTGAAAAATTTCTCCAGACTTTTATCAACGCAGAAATCACGTTTTTACGATTGTCGCAAAGTTGGCGTAGGCAAAAACATAGAAATTCGGAGCCTGAAAATGGCAAATCAATAAACATACCATGAAAAAAAGCATATAAATGCAAGAAAAAAATCGATAACGTACTGCTCACAAAATCTACAACTACAGATGGCGAAATTTATCCGCCTTCTAAACATCGCTTGAGTAGCAAAATACAAAGTATAACGTATACTAGAATTAAGCCTTAACAAAGTATTCATTTGAAGAACTCTGAAGTTTTTTATTGAACAACCACAAATTTTGTTACATAGACTTAGTTACCTATTTTATTGGGGATAAAACTTAAACCTAATAATTTTGTTGCATTTTGTAACTTCATCCACAAATTTATTTCTTAAATTCTTATTATGTCTTTATTACTATTAAAAAAACTCGCTATAGAGGTTATTTTGCATTTGTGAGAAAAGTTAATAGATGTGCCAAAAGTCAAAAGATATCTTATATAAATTGATACCGAGTTTTAAATATAAATTTCGTATTTATTACTTGAATTACATACGTCTATTGAATTTAGTTTCACACATATTTATTATAAAGGTAAGCATAACCACATATTAAAAAGTAAATATAATTTACCAATAATTGTAACACTGTAACTAAATGTGTTTGTAATAAGGTTCTACTAAAATGTAATAATAGATTTTACATTTTAGATCTGAACACTTTAGAAGAACACTTTAGAGTCTAAGCCTTTAACTTAGAGTAATAATATTCAAAATTAATATCAATAATAATGAATAATATTCAAAAGGGAATATAAATAATATTGCTGATTAATGCCATTAAATAATGGGTAAATAAATAATTTACAAGTAAATACCATTATAACTTTTATTAATCTTATGCTAATGGCAGCCAATCTTTTATCTGATATTTCTGCCTAACAAATATGTGTTTGGAAAATCATTTTTTCCTTCCTAATAGCTATATTTTTCCACGTCTTTGATTTATAATAATACAATATGTATATTATGAAATATATTTATAATCTTTTTAAAAAGTTCTCGATAATTTTTAAAGCCTTTAAAAGCCAATATCAATTGATATAAAGTTTTAAAAAATGTTCGTTCAATGAAGAAGTTTCTTCCAAGCGAATAAATGAACCAGGGCTTTGCAGATAATATTAAATTAAAATTCAACTTAAAAGTGTTTGAGGGTGCCTCAATATAGAAAAAGTATATCGTGCGTTCTTAAAAACATAATACAGAAACGTAAATTTATTCTGTAAAGAGTCAAATATAAAAAAATTTTATTAATTGTATTTTCTTAAAATTCAACAATTCTTCTAAATAAGAAATTCAAACCTTAATTTATCAAAAATCTCTTTTCATTTTGTATTATACTTATCAATTTTAGATACATTGTTTAAATTACCTAATTCATAATTAAAGTTATCAACTATTCTAAATTTCATTTGGAAAGGAGCCAAAGCATAAAAAATTGCTTTGTTGATTTCTCTTCAAATCTACTATCACCAAACTATCACTTCATCAAATAATTTCACTTATTTTCCCTGCATTGGCTTCGTGCTTAGTTATATTGCTAAAAATATCTTTAAAACAATTAAAAACTATTTGTTCTAAACGTATCTGCGAAATGTAATAATAAGAAACTAAAGTAGTTAGATATTATTTGATTAAAAGCTTCCATTCACTTCGAAATTATACAAATTGGAAATAACAGTCTACATGTTTGAAAGTCTCAAAAATCACTTTTTTTTTCCAAATCATTTTTGTTTCTTCTCATTCACGTCCGGCAAGTCTTGAAAATCTACGCCTACTTTTGAGCACTTGAAATATGTCGAATGTTATTTCACATTTATATATTTTTTAAGCAAATGAAGATTTCAATCAAGGAATGCCTACAAAATGTTCAACTTAAGATTCAAAGTCACAGCATGTAACATTTCTTTTATTTTCTGTGCAGGCTTATATAGGATGTGCATGGGGAATTCATCATGTAGGCCTTGTGTTCGTATTCTTGGGAATTGTGGATGCTTTTATTTCATTTACTGCCGGACGTCTTGCTAAGTACGTTCCTAGAGTAATAATCATGATGACTGCTGGATTGGGAAGTTTGACAGCTTATATTATTCTCTTGCTTTGGGAACCAAACAGTGAGCAGTACATCGTATTCTTTCTCATAGCCGGAATATGGGGTCTTGGTGACGGAATATGGCAAACTATGGTGAATGGTAAGTGACTACGATTTTATTAGAAGAATTTTACCACGAAATCGTTAAATCAATTTCTGAAATTTATACCTAGTCTAGCGGGGAAGACAGGCTAATATTTCTGAACAACATATTTCTGAAATTTATACCTAGCCTAGCGGGATAAACAAGAATTACTAAGAAATCTTATTTTATTATAACCAGTTCTTACTAATTTAGAAATCTGTTTTTAAGAACAGGTAAAAATGAGTGTTATAAAACTTATTTTGTTGTTAGTGCACGGAGAAAAATATTCTCGTAAAATTACCGTAATGTATAATAATGACATTTCTAGATTTTTTTTAAAAGGACAAAAAAAACATGATTTTGGTTAATAAACTATAATATACGGTGTTTCAACCATTCGTTTGATAATTTTCCGTTCATATGATAACGGTTTACAAGAAATTCTGGTTTTCAAAATTATAGTTCTAATTACCACACATTTGGTAAAAAAACACAAAACTGAAAAGTACATTTAAATGTATAAATAATTTTTTTTGCCATTCTCTAAGGTGTCATGATAAAAATACCCAATTTTACATCATTTGCAAAATTTTATTACACATTATAAAAACCATGCTTTATTGTTAATTTTACCAAAATCATTACCAAAACATTTCGGTAGGAATTACCAAGCTTTTTGGTGTTCTTATAAAATCTCATAGTAATTGTTTTAACCATACTTTTCTTAGTGTTTTTATCAAGACGCTGCAATCACTGACATCATGTTCACTAAACCATTATATAGTAGAATCTCACACATCCGAACACTGGTTATATGAAATTTAAGAATCAGAATCGATATTATTTCTCAAAAATTTTAAATGAAAAAAAGCCTTTTCAAAAATATTTATGAAGCGTTAACTCAATCAATAATGCAATAGGAAAAAATAGATTTGAATTAAAATTAGAGTCGAGCAAAATTTGACGATGCAAAAAATCCCATATCCCTGAAAACTACGGTGAAAATAATTTTTTAAAATAATTTAGTAATATCTCCATACATTGAATAACTAAAATGCAATGTAAGAAATTTTGTCAACAGAGATTTGATAAATATAAATACGCTTTTTAATAAGTATTTATAAAAATAAAATAATAAATAGGAGGTTAGTTATCCGTTATCTCTGAATTATTTAAACAGTGTTCTTGAGCTTCATCAATTAAATATTTTTTGTTCTTTTCAGCTTTCTATGGTGTGCTATTCAGATCTGATGAAGAAGCAGCTTTTGCCAATTACAGATTATGGGAAGCTGCTGGGTTCACAATTGCATTCGCGTATAGCAGTGCTCTATGCATAGGTCCAAAAATTTATATAGTTTTGGCTTCGTTGACTGTCGGAGTAATTGGTTACCTCACTGTCGAAGTTCTTCTGCTTTTTGAAAGAAGGAGGTCTTTAGAGAATGCTTAAAGAGTTATGCTAAATGAAATAAATGTATGTGATGGTCCCTGGCTGGCTTACTCTGAGATCGGGGTTGTCAGCCACGTCTGATTAGATGTAGTTATTTATTGAACAGTGATTGCGTACAGTCACAAAAATGGTTCACATTGAACTACTGTTGAAATATGTTAGGTTGTTGAGCTATTTATATCTTTTGAATTTGCTGCAGCTTAAGCAAGTTAAAGCAAATTTCCGTCCGAATTAAACAATATTGTCAAGTAAGGGAACGAACCTTAACAATTTTACACAAGAGTATTGTGCACAACTTTTGAAAGTTGTAGAAAATTTGTATGATATTTTGGTTTAACAGAAATTAGTTTAATGTCATTTGTATTAACATATTATAGCTTTTCTTTCCTTATATCTTCATGCATATTACATCTGACCAATGCAAACAACTTAGGTATTTTAATTGTTTTGGTAGTCTTGGTAGAGTTAATATCGTATCTCATTTACATAGAAAAAAATAATGCTAATTTAACTGGTTTTTCAACAAACGAGCTTAATTTCTTTTCTAACATTTTAAAAATTTTGTTTCCAAATCTTTTTTTTAAAATTAAGGAACGATTGATGATCTTTGTAATCCAAAGCTTCTTATTTTTAATATTTTATCATACAGACATAAATGTTAAAAATTCATTTTTTTAGTGTCAGCTAAGTTTATGCAACATATCAAAGATGCCAAGTTTCATAAAAATGCATTGCAAGCTTTAATATTAATTAATCTACCAATCTCATGAATGCCAGCCTTGATACCGCAATATTTCTTCCATTCCTTCAACGCACGAGGAGTTTCCAATGCCCAGCGTTCCCCTATTGGTGACTCTGGACTAGCAGAATACGAAACTCTCATTCACGTATAGATTGCAACAGTACAGAGCTGCTTAACACAAAAAAGTTTAGTATTTTTTATCTTTCATGATCGATGGAACCACCAAAAAAACTAGTTTAGCCCAATTCCTGGGTTCATTTGACAAGACAAAACTTAACCTCGACCTAACTCAAATGTCTAGTTGAGTCTCAGATGTCTCAAAAGTCCAGTTAAATATCATTTATACTGTTTTGACATTATGCTAGTTGTAAATGGTTACATAACGGTATAGTCTGCATTAATATATTTTTTAAACATAACAGTTGCAAACGGTTTTAAAAAGTAAAAGTAAAAAAAAAGGTTCTAACCGTAAACTTTACGGTTGATTGGATGGCCCGATTGCAGATTTTGAGCTGTTTAAGGAGAACTTTTTGTTTAAGGAAGTTTTTCTAACTCTTATTCGTGTCCAAAAATTATTTAAAAAAAAAAAAAAAAAAAAAAAAAAAAAAAAAAAAAAAAAAAAAAANAAAAAAAAACAGTAGTGCAAGGAAATTTTGTAATTTGGCGTAGTTAAATATGGATTTAAATTGATATATTTCTTATTGCATTTTTCATTAATTTCTGACACTAAGTTTCTAGCAACAAAAATAAAATAAAAAATTATTTTTAGGATTCCTTTAAATATAATTAAAACACATTTATGTCTCCTTAGACTTTGTTCTGAATATTTGTTTTTATATAGTCTATTTAGGCTGTAGATCTAGCTTAGTATAGTTAAAAAAAAAAATTTTCCAAATTCGATAATGAGCAGCAGGAAGTACCGGAAGTGGTATCTGTCTCAATCTAATAGAAAAAGTTACTATTTTCTAATTACATTTGTATTTGGATTTGTTTACTAATTTGGAAGTTGTTTTTTGACACCAATTTAAAATGTATGTCAACAGACATTTTATTTCTTTTGTAAACACATACATAAAACAGATGAACTATGTACAAAAAATTATTATTGTTGTTTGAGTTATTATTAAAACAAATAAATCAAACTAGATGTCTTGAAATTTTTGAACTTACAAAATTAAATTAACATAGAATATTATTTGGGGTTAAAACGAAATGATGAAACTAACTATAAGGTAACTGATAACGGTATAATATAGAGGAAAAGGAGGAGAGGTTATATAAATAATATCTCTTGACAGTTTAAGAGGAAGTGATCTAAAAATAACAAAACCATGATAATAATGATGTGTACGTCATATGATTATTCCTTTGAAAGTATGTGTGGAAAAAAATGCGAAACTTTGTTAGTTTATTAAACAACTATGTTTTTGTATGTTGGCAAGATATTAAACAAAAGAATGTAGAAATGCAGTTTTTTTAACAGGAAATATTGTGTATAATGAATGAATAAAAAGTTATTTTAAGTTATTTGAACATCTTTTCTGTGTAAATATTTTTCAATGCCTGGGCACTACACATTCCCTTCATATATATTTATTTTAGAAATTCTTGAGAAAAAGTACGAAGACAAAAAAAGCTTTCATAAGGAGTCCCATATTAATAATATGTATATTAAACAGATAGAAAAAAAACAGTATCAAAATTTGACGATTTATTATAGAAATCATTCTCAGTGAAGGCATCCAATTTTTATCGAAACCAGTTAATGAAATGCAAAAAAAAAAACAGTTTGATTGTAGAGTGAAAATGAAATATGCTTCTAGTAATCGCTTTACACTATGAAGTTTAATAATTAAATGATTTTCAAAATAATTAAATGAATTTCATCCTATCCTAATTGAAATCTTCCGATGTGCATAATTTTGATAACGTATTACTCCTTATTTTATTAATTTGGGACCTCTTATGTATATATTTATTTACTTTTTTAAAAAAAGGATTTAGATTTTATGTATTAAAGGCAGTAACTACGAAATACATTATCAATACAAACGTGAAAAATTTCTCCTTAACCTTTTTTCAATATCAGAAATGCTTATGAATTTCTTTGATCCATTTCTATCATATGCGACACATAACTTTAAAATTACCTATAACTTTACGGTAATGTGTAACTATACAACAGTTTCAAAAATTTAATACAAAACATCTTAAATAACCTTTGATTAAATAATCAGATTAATTGTTCAAGGGGTACAACTTTTGTTATTCTAAATAAATGGTAAGATATAGAAGGAATATAATACATAAGTGTAAGTAAGAGTAGAATATTTTGATTTCGAAAATCAATTCGAACTTCAAAACGTATTTTCACTGCCTATATTGTTTCGAAGAATTCGAATATTTGACCCAAAAAACATGAAGGATTGACGCAATCTGGAACTATTCCTGTGTAAGGATAGCGGTCGAAAGTTTAATATTCTTTTTGTGTATTTCGCCATGTCTTCGAAACTATTACTGAAATCAAAACGAATTTTGCACTCACTGTAATAAACTCGTTTTTTTTTCGAAGATAATTATAGCAGAAAATAATTTTTAAAAACTTAGTTACTATTTATTTTAAGACTGATTGAAATTTTTCTCCATGATAAAATTTTGCATTCTTTTAAGCAGTGTAATTTTAAATGACAAAATGTAAATTTTGTAATGAATTCGTAAAATCGTTCTCAATAAATCAAAATTTAAAATGTCACTTATTTTGAAATTTCGTTGCTCAAGTATTAGATCTATCCAGACTGCGTTTGAATTTTAGATCTTGCTACTTAAAATTATATTGTTTAAAATTAATTCTGTAATTATATACTTTGAAAAGTACTAAGAAACAGCATTTTTTTAAAACTTTTTACTAACATATTTTGCTGACAATTTTTAACTGTCAGTAAAAAAAGATAACATTAAAAATTTTGCGATATTATTTTTTTTAAATTTTTTGTTCAGAAATTTAATCTTTGTTAAAATTTCATAAATAGTGTCAGTTTAAATTAAAAAGTTTTTATTTTTATCTGTTTACTTAAAACGATTCAAATGTGCAAACGATTTTCGAGATTGCAATAAATAAACACAAAAAGAACTTTTTAAAAAATTTATTTACAATTAAATGTTTTATTAGTTTTATCACTTAGTTTATTCAATTATTGAAAATAGTTTCAATTTGTGAACTTAATAAAAACTGATTAAAAAATAAATAAATAAATAAAAAAACAATGATGTAAAACTAAGAATTATTATTATATATATTTTAGACTACTACAATATTTTTCCGTTAGCTTCCTCACATCTTTTAACAGCGCGATGCTTTCAATTTGAGCTAAAACTTGCAGCTGAACAATATTAAATTCTTGATCAAAAAAGCGATTAGTTTTAAGCTGAAAATCTCGCGGCATATTTTTCTATATTCGATAATTGTTCATTGCGCGATGCTAGTCTACGAGTAGAGAAATCACAATCCAAAGCACATACATCTCTTTTGAAATAAACAGTTGCCACATATCAGACTGTCTCGCCAAAATTCGCGAGAATTAATTTCTTTCTTTTTAAGATGTTGAAAGAAGGAAACGGGTGTGAGATGCATGATCAGATGACCGTTCAAAATATTTCAACTTATACAGCTATCTTACTTAAGGTAAGGACTGTTTTGATACAATATAATAAATTTTGTTATAAGTTATTGAAAGTATTAATTATTTAAAGTGAATTTTTGGTTAATTTCTTAATTAACTGAGAATATAAAATTCGCTCGAACTTATTCTACTTAATGTATTTTAACCCATACTTTCAAGGACTGATTTGTGAGAGGGCATTCGGGGTATATGCGCAGGGACCCGAACTAGTGAACGTTCCCACACTAAATTACATATGGAAAAGAAATATTATTATTTATTTTTATTTCTTAAAGTTTGGTCTCAAACTTGTAAGGAAATAATAATATAGTTATTTTGATAGACAAAATTTTTTAACTTCTGAACTATTACTCCTATTGACTTATTTTTGATCTCGTTCAATTTAGCGTAAAGATACATATGAAACAGCGCTTTGTTTATCTAGAAGAGCACATGCCCAGGGCCCCCAACTTGTGAGGAACCCCACCCCAAAATGCATAAGAAAGAGAAATATTTTTACTAACTTGTAAGGACCCCCAAATTTTTCTTTTACTTTTTAATATTATAACGTCAACTTTAATGCAAGTATTTCAAAATGTGAAATACATTTAATGTGAGTTGTTTTCATTTCATAAAATAAATTTGATAAATATTATTTTCTTATTCAAATAACAAATCATTTTTTAGAATGCTATGGATGCTTTGCTATTTATCTTGTTTTTATCATAATTTTAATCATTCTCACACAACTCTATCAATTAAATTTTAGGATTTTTTTGCACAGTTTAACTAAATTAAATTTTCCATTTCCATGTAAGTACAATGTAGAACATACTTCTAAATAAGCTATTTCTGCTGTTGTGTAAAAGATTATCTTTTGATATTGTGATTAAAACACCTTGCAGGTTAACTTAAACTTTAACGACTCTTTTAGAGAGCCCCTAAGTGGTTTTGTGCCCAGGGTCTCGGTACCTGTAAGTCGGGCCCTGCCCTGCACACTTTATATAATTAATTAGTTAGAAGTAATAAACTATAGGTCATAGTCTGAAATTTTGAAATGAGTATTCTCAGATCAGGTGATAAAATTTTCTGTGATAAATTGCTCTGGAATGACATCACACACTGAAAATTTTTAGCTGACTTTTTTTGTTTTCACTTGAATGTGTTATCACATAATTATCAACTTATTGCTGTAATTTTTTATCGCAAGGCCAGAGAATAGCCTTGTTATTTTTTTAATATTATATAACTTTTTATTTATAATGCACTTTTTATTAAATAAATAAATACTTTTTTATAACTAAGATTGTCTTTTTATAACTTAAAAATGTTTTTTTGAATATTCTTTTTTAAAATTCACTGTCAAACAGGACTTTTAAAATAAAAGTTGGCAGTGGAAAATAAATTTTAATAAAAACTTTTAAATATATAAAGAAACAATTCCTTTTTAAAATTTTATAGCAGATCTATTCATATAATATTGCAGTTAAGAAGCTATTAAGATAAATATTAAACCGTTGAGTTAAATAATAATCCCTTATTACTTCCAAGTTATTTAGTCCAATGGACGCGCTCTCATTTCATTTAGCCTAAAAAAATACTAAAAACAATACCTCATTTGTCTATATAGCAATGTCAGGCGTAATAGTAAGTGCAAGTCAAAATTTGTTTCGCAAAATACAGGGTGTTTATAAAGTCCCGGACCCATTTTTATGCTTAATAACTCATAAAATAATAAAGATAGATTAAAATTAATAACATAAATGGTTAGATAGACTCAGAAAGTTTCATGACCCTTGTCAATGAACTTCCACATGTGCCCCCTACGTCGCACGGAGAATATCAAGTTGATAGTCAATTTCAAGCCAGGTAGCGGCAAGCATGTCGGCATCCACAGAGGCTATTGCGGTTGTAATTCTGGCTTTTAGGTCATCAATGTTCGACACGATCCTCCTGTAAACATTGTCCTTTATAAATCCCCAAAGAAAAGAGTCCAGCGGCGTTATATCAGGTGATCTGGGTGGCCAAGGAATTGTACCTCCTCGTCCAATCCATTTTCCTGGAAAATGGTCATTCTAAGAATTACGAACGATGATACCCCAATGAGGTGGTGCACCATCTTGTTGCAAAAATACATGTGGCTGAAACTTTCTAGTTGTGGAAATACGAAGTTTTCCAACATGTCTAAGTATACGACTGATCAGACCGTCTTTTCTGCAAAAAAGAAAGGCTCAATGACTCGGTCGTGCATTAGTCCACACCACACATTAACCTTTGATGAATCCCTTTGTGTCTCACGGTATTCATGGGGGTTTTTCAGATCCCCATATGCACACATTATGGCGATTAACAATGCCAGAAACATGAAAGGATGCTTCGTCGGAGAACATTATGTGCTACAGAAAACCGCAATAGCCTCTGTGGATGCCGACATGCTTGCCGCTACCTGGCGCGAAATTGACTATCGACTTGATATTCTCCGTGCGACGAAGGGGGCACACGTGGAAGTTCATTGACAAGGGTCATGAAACTTTTTGTGTCTATCTAACCATTTATGTTATTAATTTTAATCTATCTTTATTATTTTATGAGTTATTAAACATAAAAATGGGTCCGGGACTTTATAAACACCCTGTACATAAGAAACAATGCTTCAGTTGTCTAGATCGCAGGCAGTTGCATATATGTACAGTTACAAGACGAAAATTGCACTTTAATATATAAATCACTATCGTGATTCATTGTATAAAATACACAGAAATCAATACCTCATTTTTTTCCGATAACAATATTAAGAGAGAACCTGCATTTTTGAACGAAGATCGACGTCTTGGATTCGTATTCTCAGCAATTTTGAACTTTACTTTTTTGAACCATAACCAGTTTTGAACTACAGTTTCTCGACTAGAGGTCGAACATCCTTCTAGAGTTCCATGTGATGCAGTTCTCCCGCATCACAGGGACATGGCAAATAGTTATATCATAGAACCCGTAATTCGTTCACTAACTCCTTGACATATGATTAAACAAACTCTAAACTTTGTGGAATTATTAATTTCTTGATATAGAAATGATCTTTGATTGCACTGTAAACAACAGCTCGCAACGGAATGTTGACAGAAATGCCAACTGCTCCGGACACGCCAAAATAATTAAAAAAACGGCAAATAACTACAAACTAAATTTTGCTAATATTTGACTAATTTTGCTTGCTTTTCAAAAGGTATAATAGCATGATATAACTACTATAAAGTGGTGAATTATATAAGCCTACGAATTATTTAGAAATAGTGGTGGATAAAAATCTACTAAATTGAATTTATTAAACCAAGAATCACAATTGATAAACTACCACTATAAAATATATATTTGATTTCCGGAGCAAGTTGGCATCTCTGTGTTGAAGACGTCTGAGACACGTCAATTATTGTTTTGACTTAAGAAACAAATGACGTCTCCCAGACGTCTTCGTATGTCAAGGGGTTAATTGAATTACAAATTCGTTTTTTAACTTTTAATCGTTGATTCGTGGATTTTTTGACCCACAGTTTTCGTCCTTTTATGGATTCACTTATTCAATGACTTGGTTACTTATAATAGCTAGATCATGCATATTTATATTTTTTTTTTTGTAGTATGCTCTTTATTTATTTTAAATTTTTTTTTAGTAACATACGATTATTTGTAAATAATTTAGGCAGTTTACAAAAGCTTTATTTTTGTGACCAGTTGTTCTATTAGTGATATGATATATCAATCTTCCAGTTTTGTAAAACTTACTATATTTACTATATGGAATTAAATTTGATACTTTTTATCCACTATCGTAAGTTGATTAATTTTCTGTACACATGATAGATATGCAAAAGTTTTTTATACTCATTCTGTAACTTTTATTTCACTTTTTTTCTTCTTCTTTTACAAATCACTCCTGTAAATGCTTTATAAGTTAAGTTTAAAAAACAATATTTATACAAGTGGATATATTATTTAAACTAGTAATGAAGTTATTGTAATATTCAATAAGTAAATATAGATGATATATCAAATAAATAAACAAATCTAGAATTAATTAAAAATGTATGACATTGTCATTTATTTAGGGGGATTCTATTCTCTCCTAATTAGAAATTCTGAGTACGGATTTGATTCATTATTTCTCACTACAACTTGAGATAATTTAAATTTATTTATATAGAAAATCCTAAAAATCTTTTCATTTATTTGAGGTGCATGTTAAACTTTTCCATTTATTCTGAAAATCTGGAATTTTCTAATTCATAATTATAAAAAAGAGCATTTTTTTATCAAACACTTCATTTTTATGATATTATATGTTGAGGCAATAATTTAAAAAAAAAAATTGTACATAGCAAAAAAAAAAAATATTTTGAATAAGTTTTGATCGAATGATCAGGTTTTCACGCGTCAAACTTAGTCTCAATGGTTCACAGGGGTGACTTCACATATGCTCATAAGTGCAGGCGATATTTATACTACGAAATCAGACTCCAAAAACGTACTTTCTCTGAATAACATACCCTTTTTTTGGACAGAATTGAATTCCTTACCCTCAAAATATGGGGGGAGGGTGGTCGCAAAGTGGAAAATATGGTCTAAATACTTTGGTCAGAGGAAATCGGTACCAAGTTCGGAACTCTTAACGTTAATTTTACGTTTTGCGTATTTTGCTATATCTCGAAAACTTTTAAAGCGAATTGAAAATTTTTCACACAATTATAAAATTTACTTACCTAAAGGTATTTCTGAATAAATAAATAATAATTTTTAATAATTATTTATTATTTTGCTTAAAAATAGTAGAAAAAGTTTTGAATTTTAAGTTATGCAAATTTTTACATCATTTTAAAGACGGTAATTTTATATGGCAAAATATAAAATTTGAACGAAATTGGCTGAATAATTCCTGAGAAATTGAATTTAAAAATAGTCGAATATTTAAAATTCATTTACACAGAAACTATTCGACCAATTTAGTTCAAATTTTAGATTTTACTACATAAAACTACATTCGTTAAAATGATATAAAAAAATTTATACTTTACAATTCCAAATTTTTTTAGACTCTTCTCTTATTAAATAAACTAATTAATAATAATTTTTAAAAATTAGTTTTTGAATGCAATTCGGATAAACCAATTTTATGGTTGTATAAAAAAAAAAATTTGTTTGTTAAAAACATTTTCGAGATATAGCGAAATACAGAAAAAGTAAAATTAATAAGGAACCAAATAACCCCACCCCTGACCAAACTGTTGGGACCATATTTTCCAGATAGTAATTTTCCATGTTTTGAGGGGGTCAGGAATCCATCCAGAAATAGGTGTACTTATTCAAAGAAAGTAGGTTTTTGTGACTGATTTCGTAACTTAAAAAATCGTCTGCACTAATTGATTAGCACATGTCAGGTCAGCCTCGTAAAGCATTAAGTTTATTTGGGGAACGTGAAAATCTAATAAGATCAAAAGTTATGCAGGTTATTTCTTTCTCTTTCTTTTCGCCTTTTGTATAATTGAAAAGAAAATCAATGTAACGGTGCCTTTTTTGATTGGAACCGACATGAGGTATTTGTATATATTTTCGATTTTTTACATTAAACCAATCTTATCATTAGATAATAAAAGTTCTTCAGAAAATTAAAATTGAGTTAATTTTCACAATAGCAAAGACTGCGAAGTAAACCTTCCTGAGTTAATAAAATTTTATTCTCTTTCAGAAGCTTTATCTTTATATTCAACTTTTAATAATTAAAATGATAGTTATAATTACTTGAATTTCTATTTTATATTTCCTAGGCTCAAATGCAAAAGTCAAAGAAAATGCAATGATAGAGAATATGAATTTACTACATGCAGGCACATCAGAAAGGTATATTAGTGATAAATGTTTACAAAACGAAAAAAAAAATAGTCTTTCATTTTTCAAAAATTCAAAGCACATAAAGTCAACTCAAGACTAATAATGCACAGCAAAAGGAAGATATTGAAAAATCTCACGGCCTTAGCATTCGGCCATTTCCTCGTGTTCACAGCATTCGATTCTTTGAGCAATCTTCAAAGCACAGTCAATCACGAAGAAGGCGTAGGAATCATCTCCCAGTCTGTCATCTATGCATTTTTCACTGTTTCATCCTTCTTTCTACCAACCTACCTCATTAGAAAATTTGGTTGCAAGAAAACTTTACTTATATCAGTGTTCAGTATTTGTCCTTATGTAGCTGCAAATGCTTTCCCACATTGGGGAACTTTATTACCAACAGCGATGCTAAGTGGTATATCATTTGGACCACTATGGGCTGCTCGAAGCACATACGTTAATGAAATTGCTTTTCAATATTCAGCTTACACGAAATCCTCAACAAGTGTAATTAATGCTTGGTTTTTTGGTATTTATTCATTTTTCCATGAAAACGCTGAAATTTGGGGAAATGTACTATCGTATTATGTGCTTCGAGAATCATCCAATGAAACATTGATTGCTTCTGAAAACGAAACCTTAATTCAATGTGGAGCGGAATTTTGTGGTGTCAGTGCAGACGATTTTAATCCTAATTTAGAACGACCTCCAGATGAAAAGTGGCTAAAGCTTGTGATAATATACAGTTGCTTTGTAATTCTGGCTGGGATTGTAATTTTTTTCATAGTGGATCCACTAGAAAAAGAAACAGATCCTAGAATTAAAAAGTCTAAAGAAACAGGCTTATCAGCCGATCTTCTTATAGCAACTTTAAAGCATATGCGAAACAAAGATCAGCTGCTTTTGATTCCTCTGTCATTCTACTGTGGTTTAGCTGATGGATTTTACAACAGCGATTTCACAAAAGTAAGTATAATTTAATAATTATACATAAATTAATTTCTTTTACCAATTTAATTCTTTTTTATTTAATTTTTTTGCATCTTACACATTCTTTTCTTGTACTTCCTACTAAATTATTTTATTTTACCTTACATCTTCCTCTCTTCTAGAACTTTATTGTGTCTTATACATATCTTCACTTCCTAGTCTTTTACAACTAACATACTCTTTATTGTAAAATACACATACGTTAATCTTTTACTACTAATAAATTCTGTACTTTGCCTAAGCATTTTTCAGTCTTTTGCCACTAAAATAATCTTTATTCGATCGCAAAACTTTCTAGTGCTAAATCATTTCTCTTAATTTTTTTTTCAGGCTTTCAAAAAAGATCAATAAATTTAAGACCATTCTATAAAAATGTTCAACATTTTTCTGTCCAAAAAAAAAAGAAAGTCGCAGGATGCAAGATCTGAACCATAGAGGATACTTAAAATCGAATTCAAAAGAACATCAAACTTTATTTTATTTGCACTGAAAAATTAGAGGAATGTATTCTTATAATACAGCATTCGATATCGGATTGCTTTTAGACAAGGTTATAATTTTAAATAGAGTTGTGAAAGAAGGGTTAAAATAAAAAAGGCACATCTTTTTGATGATGGTGAAATTTTATGATTATGAATTATTAATATATGTCCAACTTGACTTCGGTAAATAAGAATAAGAAGGAATTAAAAAAAGCGTTAAAAAGTTTGATATAAAACCTTAATTAACCTAACTTTGTAAATTATATATGGAGGGAAAAAAATTGCATTCTCAGTACCGATTAACAGAGATTTTTATTGCTGTGAAATTTGTCTAAACTGTGCAGTCATGACTATAGCTTATTAATAATTAAGATAGTTTAGTATGTTAGTTTTTATCTCAGTCTGGATATGTGAATTAAAAATACTTTTGAGGCAAACATATTTTTGTAACTCCAAATCAACATTAAAAAAATCTACCATGAACGGTTCTTAAAATTATATTTGATTTTAATTAATGAGGCTTTTGAATTTAATAATCCAACTGATAAAAAAGTAATACTAATAAAAAAAAGGAATGACAGAATCTTTTCTATTAATATAACTTTTTATTTAATTGAATAATTCAGATCAGAGAATATCTTTTTTGTATATTTTTATACACATTGGAGAAAACACTGAATTAAACTAATTATTAAATTATCATTTAAAATTAATAGAGATTTCAAAATAATTACGATAAATGAAATTCAAATGATTTGTATTGACAATATTTTTTCCCTATAGAATATTAAAGCATTTATCATTTCTTTTTTTTTCCAGTCTTATATAGCATGTGCATGGGGTATATCTCAAGTTGGTTATGTTACTATATGCTATGGTGTTGTCTGTGCTGTGATGGACTGTTCTTTAGGATTTATGGTAAAATATTTAACACGTATGCCAGTATTTTTATTAGCTGCAGCATCACATTTCGCCATGATGCTAACACTTTTGCTATGGAGACCAGATGCCAACAACTTTAACCTCTATTTCATATTATCAGGAGTTTATGGGATTGGTGCAAGTGTTTGGTGGTCACAAATAATAGGTGAGATTAATTGCCTTCCAAATAAATTGAATATAAAAACTGATTTGATTAGTTTATAAATGAAAATTTCAAGCTATTGATAAATTATACAAAAGGGAAAAGGAAATAAATTACACAGAATTAAAAAAGGAAATGAATTACACAAAAAAGTACAAAAGTCTTATTTTAGTGGAAGAATTTTTTTTAGAAAATAAAACTAAAAAGTAAATTAAAACATTGCAGCAATAGTTTAAGTAAAAGTAAAATGAAAATAGCGGATTCACATAAATTATATGCCATTATAATTTGTTGATTTTAAAAATAACACATGCAGTAATCGATAAAGAGTACCAAAAGTAATAAAAAAAGTAATAAAAAAATATATAATTTAAATTTATAGTTTGTATTTCTGTTTTTACTCTAAGAAGTATTAGTTCTTGTAGAAGTATTAGTAAGTTCAGAATAAAAAAAAATTCCTTTAAGGAACTTAAAAAAATGCAGCAAGTTACAGCTACCAGTTATGTAGGTTGAAATATATTTTATTGTAACAATAATTCCCATAAATCAGAAAAGTCAAAATCTTAAAAACTAGATCTATCCACTAATACTTGCAATGTGTGTGTGTATATATATATANATATATATATATATATATATATATATTATAATGTAATACAAAAAATTATTTAATATAGTGTTCTACAATCACCTCCCTTTTTGTATAATTTTCGAAACCTTGAAAGAAAAAACTAAATTATCAGGGAGAACATTCTGGGATGTGTTTAAAATATGGAAAGACAAATATGCTGTTTAGAATAGTTACAAAAAAATATTGAATAGAGTACACTTTTTCATATAATAGAAATTATGTAATTATTGAAAATAGTGTACAAAGAAAATACTTGTTGTGTACATATAAAAGTTCTTTGAGGTTAACAAGTAGAGAATAGTTATTTCAGCAAGACATGAGGTCTTCTTGTAATTACTGTACTCATTACAAAAAAGACAGATACACAAACTGAGATAAAACTGCTTCATTTTGTGTGTTTGTGTAAGTTTTAAATCTAACTGTTTTTTAAAAAATTTTCATGATGTAACTGCCTACTGCATTAATTTTTAATTGCTATATTTCAAAATTTAAATATAACAGTGCAGCACAAAAAAATTTGACATCAGAAATGCATATTTTCAAAATTAATGATGTTATTAAAATAAAATGCACAAAAAGTTTAGAAGTATATTCATATCATAACAATAATATTGCACCAATAAGAATTAAATTACCGAAATGTAATGACTAATTAATTAAAATTTATCTTTTTACACAATTTTAAAATAGATTGCATTTTATTTTTCAGCACTTTATGGTGTCATTTTCAAAGACAATGAAGAACCAGCATTTTCAAATTTCTATTTTTGGAGTTCTTTAGGATTTTCAACAGCCTATGCTTACAGTAACAGTTTATGTACAGATATAAAAATTTACATATTGCTTAGTTTGTTGTTTATAGCCATAACTGCCTATATTTCTGTTGAAGTAAGATTTATTTGTAAATATAAAAATCACAGATTACAAAACAATCAAATTAACGATATTACTGAGTTGTATTAAATAAATTGAAATAAAATTTTATAAACTGTTGGCTTTAAATTTATATAATTTTTTTAATATAAGAATAAGAGAAATAAGAGGTGTAATTAGATATTTTGTATGTTTTTTTATAAACTTTTTATTGCTTGGTCAGGAAAATGTTTCATTGTAATTTTATTTCACATAATTATGAATTTATTTTATCGATTATTATTTCACTGAACTGAAACACAAAATTTTTTATTATTATTATGAAGTTAATGTTACCAATTATAATAAATTTCAAACTTAAATTAAATAAAAAGGAGCAAGTTCAAGATATTTCAGAAAAAATAAGATGTATTAGTCCAGAAACTTTGAGAAAATCTATTGTTAATTAAAAATAAAAATTAATAAACAGTTAAATTAAACTTGAAAGTTTTTTTTCTTTAACTGTGTGAACTTTATATTTTATACAATGAGGGATATTCTTTAATCATGAAATAGCAGTACAAAATATATTTGTATACAAGTTTCTATTCACGTTATATAGAGTGTTAGTTTATAATTCTTTTGGAGAATTTGCCACAATTTTTATTTTTTATTTCATTTGTTTCAGCTAACTATTAACTAAATTAATAAGTAAAAATATTAAAAAGGATACCAGGTCTTGTTAAGATATATTAAAAATTTAAAAGATTTATTTTAAATCATAATATTTTATGTGTTGCATATTTCCATAACTGCTAAATTATATAGCCAGTGAGGAAAAGGATTTGTAATGGTATGTTTTTCTGTAAAAATCTTGGTTTTTAAAGTTTCAAAAAAGTTTGTTTAACCTACATTAGCAAATCAATAATTTAAACATATGCAAACAAGATCTAATAATTAAGCAATTATAGTTTGAAGTACTGGTAAAGTAACTTAGTTAAAGAAATTCATCCTTCTTCAATTATTGTTTCATAACAACTAGTAAAATCATTTCCAAGGACTTTACACCTAATAATAAACACTTTTTATTCATTAAAAAACTACCTAAACTTACAAAAAACAAAAGTTTTCATTTAAGTTTCTCCTAACAACTCTTTTTGTTTAATCTTGAGTACTTTTTCTAACTCTGCGACATTTAGTTCAGCTACATTCTGAATCTAAAACAAATGAATAAAAAAAGTAATTACAGTCTACAAATGACAGTTTTATTAAAATTAGTAAACAGAATAAAATTTTTTATCTTAAGAAACTAAATAATTAACCTAAGTAAACAAATCAGTTTTGTGGATCTTAAGGGAACTTAATGTCCTAAATTATTGTCTATAGTGGGATGAGTCCAGGTTATAATCCCATGTTTTTATCGAATACAATATTAATACATTAAAAGATCTATATAACACAATTCTATAAACTGCAATTCTCTATAAACCACACTAGCTTTGTGGCAGTAAACAAAGAAAACTGCAGTAACAAAATTTCTATACATAAGAATGAACTATTAACTATAATTACTATTAACTAACATTATTTGCTTAATTATTTTAAAAGGTTAAAATTTCAAAAGCTAAACAAACCAAATTTATTAAATTGTTTGTTCCTAGTTTTAAAGTTGTTTCCGATTGTTGACAGCGCACGATTACTTACAGGCGCACTTGCACCGTGTTGGTCTTTCTGACTCTCCTACTGTACTCTATGTGCAAATAGGTCTCATATGAATGGCAGGCATCTATGGAACTGCTCTGCCCTCCAGGAGGCCCGTAATTCGTCTAGTTTCACGACGCTCTCCGCCCCTGGAGATATTTCTTTATTATATTGGACAGCAAGACTTCTCACTCGAGAGAGCAAATGATGGACGTAATTTCAAAAAAAAGTTTTAAAGTTGCAAAATGTTTTATTTTTTTACTTATTTATTGTTTTTTTTTTTAATAAAAAATACTTACTGGTATTTTTAAGTATTTGTATCCAAAAATTGTTTTATAGCATTTTACTATTGATGTGTTTCTGACTAATATTGCTTTATTTAGTAGGTAAATTTAAAGACAAGCAAAGTGATCTATACAACACAAAATTCCGTAAAACGCATAGCCCCGGGTTTAAAGGATTGCTTTATAAAGATCTTCTACTTAATTATTATCATACAAATAATAAAAAAATACATGTTTTTTTAATATAATTACAGTTAAATTATGTACCATAGATATGTCAAATGTCAATAATATAAATAGCAACTTAATATATGTCATTTAAAAACTAAAAAAAATAATTTGAGTTCGGTTTAAGAAATATTTAATAAAATTAAAATATCACTATTATGAATTTTTTTTACCATATTAGAGGCATTGAAAATTAGATCTTCAGACAGATCAGTTTTTCCTTTAGCTTCTTTCACAAAATAATTCTGGATGCTCCGAATTTCATCTTTAGCTTTCATAAACATGGATTTTGCACTTTTTGCCATATGTTCTCTATGTTCCCTTGTCATCCTGCAATACAGAGTAAGTAACATTAGCAAATAGAGTTAGAAATGAAATATAATTAACTTATAAACACTTAGAACTAAAAAATGTATTAAAACAATGGCTACTTAAGATAGTTTCCAAACATGCATAATATTAAAAAAGCAAGCTCATTAATTTGTAATGTGATAAATTTACTATATAAAAGAGCTATGGTAAGAGAGACCAAACTTTTGCATACTGTAACGAGTAATTATTAGAAATGATTACAACAAAATAAAAAGAAGCTAATTGAATATGAAAAATAAAAAGTCTATTCAAGAAGATTCCAGCATATCAGATCATAATAATATAGTGCTCTAGATCGGTATAAAGTAATGGACAAGCAATGATTTAGAAAATGATATAAATAAAGTTTTTTTTTTTTTTTTTTTTTTTTTTAAAAAAAAGAAGCTAAACAGATACAGTGGCATCTCTTAATACCAGAATTGACTGAAGGATCACTTGCAATCAGCCAAAGCCCAACCTTCGGAGCTATGGCTTTCATAACTTTGAACTTTCATACAATTAATTCCTGATTCTGGTAGCATGATATCCCATGATGAAAAAATATGAGGCTCTGACTTAATTTAAGAAAAAAAAATTTCTGACTATTATAGATTTTACAGAAAAATTTCAAATCATATTTCAGCTATATAAAGCAATTATTAATCAGGACAAGATTTAGTTTTATTCAATATGAAAATTACTAGATTTTTCTGTGAAATGAGTTATCACTCAAAGAAGATAAGATGTAAAAATTAACAGCAGTGTTATTTTGAAAAAGCAATGGTTGTAATAGACATTGAATTTAACTAATGTGCATAAAAATAGCTGCTTAAATATTTTTTTAAGTTCTAAGACTGGTAATTTTCCTGATAAATCACAAGAATTCTGGTTCTAAAACTACACTCACTAACACTTATGTGTTTTTCCTGACCCATCAAACTTTATCCAAGAAAGTTAGTTTTTGGGTTAAGTAAACAAAGAGAGCAGTTAAAAAATAAAAAATTTTATAGAACTTTTTGTAATTACAATTAAGACCCTTTTTTTCCAATAGGGATAAACTTTTGTTTATTTTAAAGGTTTTTACTGCACTCACCTAACTTATAAGTACACTTATTACTCTTTACTTTAGATACATAACTTGTAAGTTAGTTCATATTTATAAGTTACAAAAAGTCTGACAACTTTTTTATTCACTTTTTTCTTGCTAGTGGTTGCATATACAAAATGGATGAATTACAAGAATTATTAAAATTCACATAGAAAATTACATCCTAGAATTGTGACTTACAATAAAATTTACAATTATCTTAAGATATCAAATAAAACTAACTTGTTATCTTAAATGAATATTCAACAAATAATCAAATTATTTAATTAAAACAATAAATGGGGTAAAAGCTAAATATTATCAAAAGAAATCTAATTTCTATAAAAAAAATAGGACAGATATTTTACCAACAATGTATTGGAATAAAAAAAAATTTCTACTTCAGAAAAATATTTATTCTTATTATATTAAATATTTATTCTTATCATACTAAATATTTATTCTTCTTTTGTTTAATATTTAAAAACATGCATGCAAATCAAATAGAAAGGAAAGATATACAAACAAAGTTTTATAAATCAACAGCACTATTTGGTGCTAAAGACATACAAAAATATATTTCCGCCAAATGAACGTCAAGAGAAATTTTTATTAAAATTTTAAATTGACTTTTATTATATAACTTGCCATTAAATATTGAAACATAAAAAAGATGCATAAACAAGACAGTAAATGTGAAGATTGTACATATATTAAGACTTAATACAGTCAGACCTCGATATAAGGTCATCCAGCATATAAGGTCACTTTTCCAAAGTCCTGGCTCACTGAATAGAAATTCTTTGTTACAGATTTAGTTTAGGTCAAGTTTAAAAAATCATTATCGCTTATAAGGTCATTTTTATCTGAGGCGAGGGGAGCTCCTTTCTAACAAAAGCATATTTAACTTCCTTACAGGACAATCACCCCTCTCGAGTTCTAGGAAATTGTTGCAGCCAACGAACAAGCTACAATTGCTGAAATCGTTTCACAAGTTGTGGACAGTGAGGACAATGACAGTGATCCTGAGACTGTAGCTGTAACCCAAGTGAAGGCTTCCCTCCGTGCAATAAATGTCATACGAAATTTTTTTACAAACCATGAGGGAGCTGAGGTACATTTTGAAAAGTTACAAAATCTAGAAAACATTGTTCGAAAAATGAAATCAAAAACGAGACAGACCTGCATAACTGATTATTTTAAATAAGGTAAGATGTAATGCATATATGTACACTTTGAGGAAATTTTCAAACAACTTTATTTTAAATAATTAAAAAAAAAATCTAACTTTCTTTAATTCTTTACTAATTCTGTTAAAATTTATTGACTTAACCCCTTAACTGCCGAGTAAAATTAACGTGATTCACTCCCCAGTGCCACCGTTTTTCGCTCAAGTGCACTTTCTTACACGGTGTTTTGGTGGGAGAAAATGATGCACTCTTTGCAATTTAAAAACAGTTTAATTTTACAAGACAAGAAAAGGGAAAGAAAGAAAATACAAAATTTAAATTAAATAATAAAAATACAATATAAAAGATGTTAAAACTTAGCTGTTGTATAATAAATCCTGAAACATGGTTGGACACATAAACCAACATCACATTCATCGCACTGATAGCGGGATCCACGCCGAATTTTTTTTCTTGAACAAACAGCACATTTTCGCGATGCATTTTTCTTTGAAGACGTTTATGAAAAGAATAAAAAGCACCAAATACATACGGGAAACAAAAGCGAAAAAAGAATAAACCCGACCTTACTCAAATAAATACACACAAGCGATTAATACGACATCACTTCTCCATAACATCCTTTTCCCATTCCCCCTCCTCCGAAATTAGTAATACATTCGCAAAGCAAACACTTTCAAGGCCATTTTACTGCATTCTGAAGTAGGGGGTGTAGTTCTATTTATAGCAGCGCAATGCAATGCATCGTACTTTGGGAAAGCGTATATATACGCCTGCGGCAGTTAACGCATCGTCTGACTGAGACGTATATATACGCCCGCGGCAGTTAAGGGGTCAAATATTTAATTTACGGCTGATGGTTCTCATTTGCACTACCATTAAAAAAAAATCCTGATGTGTACTATTTACGTGCTTAGTTACGAACTGCTAATGAATCGGTTAAAAGGTCACCCCGCTTATAAGGTCAGTTTTGCGATGTCCCTTAGGGTGACCCTATATCGAGGTCTGACTGTCAAATTTGTTCAATTCGATTCTTGATGGGAGAAAAAAAAAGCCAAACAGGTATGCAAAGTTGGAAGTTTTATTATTTTTCTTTCGTTGTTCTTTTTTTTTTACACTAGATCACAAATGAAATTGATAAGGATACTTTTACTGAGTTCATTAATAAATAAATTAGGTAATTTAAGTAATGTAAGTTTATAATATACAGGATAAAAAGATAATTATAGAGCAAACAATACTCATAATTCTGATTTTGAAAGATCTAAAAAATTGGTAAGTTTCATAAAGCTAAAGAATTTGAGATAGAATTTTTCTCAGTAAATAAAAATTAAAGCAAGTTAGTTGATTACAAGCAAGGCATAAATAAAAAGGATACAATGACAGAAATAAGATGAACAATAAAAATGAAAATTGATAACAAACTGGTGTCTTACTTAGGAATGGTTAAGTAGATCATAGTGCCATCTTGCTGAGGATTTATGCCAATACCAGAATCAATAATAGATTGTATAGCTGGTTTTAACGCCTATTGAAATTCTTTAAATATGAAAAAACAAAACAACACACAAAAAATGCATTAAAAAAATAACAATTATAATTTGAAATATATAAACACCAAAATTGCAATTCTTAATAAAATCTGAAACATTTGAAGATATATTTTCAATTAAGATTTATTAATTTAAATAAACAGTTCAGTAGTCCTTTATATGCATTGTTAAAAATTTAAGTGAGTAATATCAGCTAGTGAAAATTTATTATAAAGATAACTTCTGACTGAGAGATTGTTAACAGGCTAACAGCAAATTTTTTTTAAATGAATACAATTTGTTCATGTAACCTTCAATTCGTCGTTACCTAGGGGGGGGGAGGGGGAGGGGAAATTAACAATTAAATAAATTTAAATTTTTTTTCTTCAAATTTCTCTCTTTCTTTCAAGCATTATTATAAATTTCAAACTAACCATACATTTCCTGCACTATTAAGTTTTTATCTATTATTTGCAAATTTTGCTACAAGTTTAAGTGAGCAATTTTTTATTTTTAAATTTTAGTTTCCTCTTAATTACGTTTGGATAGCAGACAAGTTTTGATTTATGAAGATGTTGTTGCAGATTAAATCAGAAAACTTTGCCACCAGGTACACATTGTATTACCAATGAGTAAGTTTTATAACTTACAAATCTCACAATAAAAATAGAAACTATGCTTAAAAAAAACTCTTTTTACAATTTTAAAATTAATCTACAAATTTAAAATTTAAAAAAAATGACTGACAAAATAAATGTAAACATTTCATTACCTCTGGAAAATCTATCAAATTGATGGCAATCAAGTTTTGATTCTTCCTTGAAATTTGAGCTAATTCGTGTAGAGGGTACTCATCATCATCAATTTTGACCATAATATTTTCCACATCTACAAACATGAAATTTATTTATAAAAAGAAAACAAAATATTTTTAAATTAAAAAATTCCTAGTAAGCAAATAAGTTTTTCTGAACAAAATATTTAATATTTTTCTAACGAAAAAGTTATTTTTTGAAAAGTAACTAAACTAAATTTAATGCAAGTTGCAAAATTTATCTAATTATGTTTAAGAAAAGGTAAATACAATTCAAAATTAAAATTTGTAGAAAATATTAACTAAATTAATTATTAAGATGAAAAAAATGCACAATTCTTATTATAAAAGTAAACAAAGATATAAACTACTAAAGAAAGAAACAAAATATCAGGTATAAGCAAACACAAGAATATTCTAAGTTTTTAGTACTTAAAACTAATAGTTAAAAATAAAACAAAACAGTGGGACAATTAAGCAAAGTGTGTTCCTGCGAAATTGTCAAACAATTGAATTTAGTTGTTAAAGCAGATACAATATGCATTGAATTTTGAATATTGAAATTGTATGATAATCAAAGTGTAATGAATTTTAAATAATAAAGTTATATCAATAACTTATCTCAAGTTTCTATTTAAAACATATTTATTCATACAATTTGATTAAAAAACTTTAATTTGCTTCAGAAATATACAGATTGGAAATAATAGTCAACACGTTTCAATTGCTCAAAAATATGCGCCAATTTTTCAAGATTGACCAGATGTGAATGAGGAGAAACAACAGTGTATTGAAATATAAAATGTAAAGTTGCTAATAAAAATGTAAAATAAAGGTGAGTAACAAAACTAGAAAAACCTCATTAACCGAGAGAGAATAGAAACTAAGAAAAACTTGTGGCTAAGAGCGAAAAAATCATAGTAAAATGCATTTTCATATGTTATGGAGAGGCAGCAAGGAAGTAATGCAGTTAACAAACTTGCGATTTTTTCTAGAAAAAAACAATAAATGGTAATCAAATGTATAATTCATAAATAATTTTTTAACTTAATAAGTATAAAATTTATGATAAAATAATAACAGAAGAGAAAAAGGCAAATTTAATATGTTTTAAACACAAAACAATGCTAATTATAAAATAAATCAATGCTAGATATAAAATTAATGAGGAATTAATACTAGAAGCTGAGCGAAGAGAAAGGTTCTCAACATATTCCTTCTTTAATTTTTCTTTAACAGTAAGTAATTGATTTCTGTAGTCTTCAATATCAATGACCTCTTTTATTTCTTCATCAGATAGCTGTGCAATTTTAGATTTTCCTCCACCTGAAATAACATAATAATATTTTTTCAACTTCAATGGAAAACTTAGGAAATAGTAACTGTTTTTTTTATTATGCATGCATTGTTCCACTCTTTCATTAGTTCTATAAGAAAATAAAAGACTACTCACAATAATAATTGTAAGCATAATGATCAAATATCTAAAATAATTTTATGTGGAAAAACATTTTCTTTTTAGCATAAAGATATTCAAAACAATGATATTTGCAATATTTAATACTTCGAGACACATTTTCAGGACTTGAAATCAACACTGATTTTGGATTACTAAGACATTATTCAGGCCATCATGAAATAATTAACAAAGTATAAACTGTTTATTTTAATGGTTTATCATTTTGGTCAGTGTTTTGTTGTAAAATAGCATACATCATCATAGTTACAAATATCACACACTCTCCAATATTTTTCGTTAAATTTCAGTTTAATATTTTATATGTTCAATATTCGTCTAAATATATAATACTTAAGTCGTTTATTATAACACAATGATAAAATTTTGAAGCTACATTCAAATTCTTTTTTAAAAAATTCTAATAATATATTGTTAATTTTTTGCATAATAAATTCCAATGTATTTTTTTTTAATCTAATAGAAGTATACAAATGAGCCAATGAAAATGTGCACAGACAAATTAAATCTTTTAGTAGATAAATCATCTATAAACCAGTATAGAGAGTAAATTTTCTCAAGGATACTTTCATCAGAGCTCATTCTAAGCAGGGTAAACAGGGCGCAGCACCCTGCTGCCCTTTTGATCAAAAGAATCCACCCTGTTGCCCCTGAAGTAAATTAGTGCTCCGATATAATAGACTCCATACCCTTTTTCCGCTTTCTTTCCTCAACCCTTTGTTTTTTCCCCAAACTCTACTATGGATTTCTTAAACTTTTGTTATTTTCAACTCTTTTTAATTAGTTTGTCATTGCTGTCAATACATAGATTTATATGGGAAAGGAAAAATAGCCATCACACCCCCTTGTTGCACTTGTCTTTGAAAGTTTGCAGTTACTTCCACTATCATTAAATTATAATTATTTATTTTAATTATTAAATCATAACTACAGACACTTAAAAATATATATGTTACTCACTATGACACTCAATATATATGTTAATTTATTAATAAAAATTAGTAATTAATATGATTGCTTTGCTACTTTTAGTAAAGTGAAGAAAAAAATTCTTTTACTAATGGACAATGTTTTTTAATAGAACGTGTAAAGCCCAAAGAAAGAAATTATTGCCTTTTTAGAATAATAATGCCCTTTTTTTAAACTTCTGCATCCTGCCCTTTTTTCTGCCTAGAATGAGCTCTGCTTTCATATTATTACCTGTTTGCGCTCATTACATACGCCAGAGGTATTTTTAACTTTTAAAAATTTATAGAGCTTTGCCCAGGTTGATTTTCCTCAGTGATTTTTTTACTTTATTTAAAGTTTCTCAAGGGTCACTGCTCGGAAGTTACCCAAACTTGGTGATTATTTTGGCACAGCTACGGATGAAGAAATTTTATTAATTTCCTCTCCAGATTTTAATTTAGATTATTTCTCATGATTGTTAGAAATATTGTGGTAAACAATGCATAGACCATTTTCTAGTGATATTTTAGAGTGCAAAATATGTGAAGAATTATGGCAGAATAACTATCAATATTTATAACTGAAGACTTATTTAAAACATTACCTACGTTTTGTTAGTTAAGTTTCTTTTCTTTTTAATTGCTTTCTTACTGCATGAAACTAAAATTAAAGGAAATTTTTATTCAAATTAATAAATATTATAAAATGTGAAGGAATGTAACCTTTAGACATTTTTCCTTGAGCCTTCTTTGCAAAGCAAACATGATTCAATTGAAGAGGTGTCACTACCAAAATATTTCTTCGAGTACTTTCGATAGGAATTACATTTGAATATAAGATACTACATGACTTATAAACAGAAGGTGGTTTCATCTTTAGAGTTTTCAATAACTTAGAATAAGTTCTCAATTTAATAAATATTTCCATCCTAAAAAAGCAAAAATGCTTGAAAAATATATCGCCAGAGAAATCGAAAAAAAAACGGATTTACATCAAAGAATTTTTAAAATTTTAGATATATCTTCTACTCATGTCTTCAAATGAAAATAAACACTTTCTCTAATAATCAAAATACACATTTTACTCAAAACCAACTACATGAATTGAAAGTCTATTTATAAAATCGTTCATAAAGTCCATTCACCAGTGACTTCAGCCTTGAGACTCTGACAATTGTGGCTACAAAGTTTTCAGTTCGAAATAGTGTTTGATTTCAACCGTTTCAACTGAAAAGTTTTGAACGGTTCATTCAGTCGCCGTGATTTCATCATCATTTCGAAGCGTGTTTATTTACAATTTTGTTTACTTTTATTAGCATGGTATCTTTTTTTCTCGATGGTTAGTGACAGTAATTATCGAATGAATGAAGATAAAAATTAGAAATTTTTGATTTCTCAAGCAATATTTTCAGCTGTATTATAATAATAATTGTAAATTTCATAATTTATTATTATTTTTTTCATGCACATTAGTTATAAGATAACTAATTTATGTTTGATAAAAAGTCGACAGTTTTTAAGTTTAAAACTTCAACATACTCAGAAGGTGTATCATAGTTTCCAAAAATATCCAGCAATTTTTAAAATGCCTCGAAACAAAGACGAAATCGCAGCTTTAAAAGAAATTAGGATGAAAAAAAGAAAACAATGCAAAAGTGCTCGTTTCCCACCTGGTGAAATATATCTATGTGTGTTGGGAAACGGATCGATTTCATCTCCTAAAGCTCTTTATATGTTTACCGATCATGAGAGGTAAAAACTAATTTTATCATTCTGCTCTATCTATAATTTTACTGGATATTTCTTAATGTTAAATTGGTTTTTTTAAAAAAAAAATATGCAAAAATTTTTATACTTGTATCTTACAATTTATTATTAAGAAATGGAATTCGAGTGTAAAATTTAAAAGAAGTTTTATGTATCGTTATCTGTGGCAGAATAATAATCAACAAATCTTGCCAACTGGAGGGATATAACTTGTAGCGACCCTCCGCAAATCTCTACATGTTTTTTTTCTTTCCGATTTGCAATTTAAAAATCCATTTGGTCTTGGAGATTGTGGGGATATTTCCGTATCGTAATCTGACATGCCAACTACAATTGCCAAAGTGTCAAATAGATCTTAAACTTTCAAAATTTTTATAAAAAAAAATATGTAGATGTATGCCTGGGGGTGACTGCGAGTTATACCTTTTGAGTTTTTCTCTTTCTGTGATTATACGGAAATCTCCCCAAGATTGTAGTTGGCACGACAGATTTCGATGCGAAAACATCCTTAAATTTAATGATAAGATAGTTACACTTTTGACAACTAATCTATACCAGATTTGACAGATTGTGAGGAACTACAAGATTGTCAAACTGCTTGACTTGTATATCATGTTTCTATTTTGCATTCTGAACTTTCGTGCCATTTTCTTACTTCATGGCTTCATGTTGTGTGTGCTTGCTACTCATTAGTCAATGAATTTGTTTTGTTACTGTTAAAAATAAAAAATGACCTATTCATTCTATTCATTAAAGTTTTTAAGCCTTCTCTAATTGTTATCTTTTTGATTGCTGTGGGCCTTGAAAAAACAAAGAATAATTTTAATAATTTATACCTATATATATTTCTTGAAGTGGCAGAAAATTTCATTGTTATTATTTGCTTCGAAATATTCCCCTATTTTTGGTGACAACTGAGCAGTGAATGAGCACCACAGGGGGGAGGAAATTAAAATACACAGTTATAATAGCTTTCAAAATTCAAAAACATTCTTAAGACTTCTAAATATTTGCAAAAAGGTTAATTATTTTTTATCTCTTTCTCATTTTTAACTTTGATGATTCGGAAATATTTTCTTTTTTTTTGTCTGAAATATTGAAGAGAACATAAACCAATTGCCCTCTTGCTGCCTACGTTCACTATGGGGGAGAGAGACAGGTCAAACTAAAAAATATAAAATCACAGAAAAAGACTAAGTTGAATTCCTGGCCAATAGGAAGCAAGTTGAAACATACTTTTTTTAAATTATTCTTTAAGTAAAAAAACTATTTAGCACTTTGATGTTCGTTTTGAAATCCCTAGAAATGTTAATGGTATAGTTCTTATTACTTCTGCTCTTGGGTATTACAGACAGAAATTTGGTACCCTTGTTGGCAAAGGCCCCCATCAGGGGGGAAGGTGGGGGGATTTTAAAGCTTGGGGGGATTTTTACACTAAATAAAACAAATAGTTTTGGGGGGGAATTTAGACCAGAGAATTTTTTTTTTTAAGTACATAAATAAAAGAAGCAACATAGCACTATTTCGAACAACCTAACATGGAAGGGGGAAGTTAGCAAATTTTTTTGGGGGAGGGATGAATTCGCCCAAGAGCTTGCGGGGGAGGGGGGGCACTGCTTGTTGGTAAAGTTCCAAATTGAAATCTTTCCTTCTTCTTTGATTAAAGAAGTATATTTTTTTTAAAAAAATAACTAAGTTTCCTGAACTTTAAATTTTTATTGTTCTTTATAAATTTATTTTAATTTTAGATATCTTTTTAATTGTGGTGAAGGAACTCAAAGGTTATCATCAGAACACAAGTAATATCATTTACTTATTTTTGATTATGTTATCTACTTGTTTAATTATTTTTTAAAAATTGAAGTTAATCTTTATCATTTCAGGACAAAGTTATCCAAATTAGATAATATCTTTATTACTCATAAAAGCTGGGATAATATTGGTGGTTTATTAGGTAAGGAACATTTCATATGTTTTCTTTTATAATGTATATCTTACTTGGCATTAATTTTTACCCATATTTTACAGGTTTATCTCTTACTTTGCAAGACATGGGTGTTCCTGAAATTACTCTACATGGTCCACCTGAAATAGTAGGCCTACAATTACTTTTTTTTAATTTATTATATAATGTTAGAAATTATATTTAAAACTGAAATGTATATTTTCTATTCTACCTTATTGTATCACATTTATATCTTAAAATGTTAATGACATTATATTTATATCATTTAGAGCATTAAACAAAGTCAGATATTTTAGCCATTTTGGGAATTCATGCTCTTAAAATCAACTTATGATCCAATACAAATCTTCACAGCTTGAATTTAAAAAATAGGTCATTTCATTAATTTACTCTGTGACTAGTTCTGGAATAACTCTATGGGTTAACCAGCTTCATTCTGCCTTAGTGGCATAATCTTCGAAATAGTTTTCTTTGTATAGTTCAACATTTACCCTTCAGACAAATTTTCTTAATACATAAAAATTTTTACATAACTATTCATACTTTTACATAATATTCATAGTGTTTTTTTACACTATTTATATTTTAACATAACTATTATAAACATAACTATTCATACTTTTACATAATATTCATAGTGTTTTTTTACACTATTTATATTTTTACATTATTTGCACATGCATATTTTTCTAAGAAGGTTGAAAAAAAGATTTTTACATGTTAAAATTTTTTTTTTTTTATATTAGTGCAGACATTTAGAAAAATGTATAATTATGAGGTGAAAAAGTTGTTGCATTAAATGTAGTTTAGAGAAAAGTTTCTAATATTTATGACATTTGAAAACAAATTTATAATATTTTTAAAAAAATCAATTGAAAAAAAACTTATTTAATTTTGCCATAAAATTTTATCTTTATAGTTCATGTTTAGCAATATGCACTTTATTTAATAAAATCGGACATGTCATATCAATAAGATAGTGTTTAAAACTATTAGATACCAAAAAAGAGATTTTTTTTTAAAGATATATATACTAATATCTATAAAATTTCAGAATTTTTTAAAAAAATTTATGTTAATTTATGAATAAAAATGGTTAAGAATCAGGTAAGTGTGATTTAAATTAAAATCAGATTTCTCTTCTTTTTTTTTCTCTGTGTAAATGAAATCAGTATGCTAGTTTTGAAAGAACTGCTAAGTAGTTAGATTTAGGAAAATTGTTTTTTCTCCCTCAATTTTCTTTTAAAATTCATTCATAAAGAATATAATTAATTTTTGGCTGTAGAAATTCTGTCCATAGTTGAATAATAAAATGGTATTTTTTTTCTTTTCTTCCTAAATACAATCAAAGTAAATATTAATTAATTTTGGACATTTTTTTCTCATTTCAAAAATTGTAAAAACTGCTAACCCTTTTATTCTGAGTCTACTAAAATAGAAACAAATTTCTTCATTTTAGGATTCATTATTTGACCAAGCCAGATCTTTTGTTGTACTAAAAAGCCTTGACATTGGTAAGAAAATTATTTTTATTTTTAATAAAAAGGGTTTTTCCTAATCACTGCCTTTATTATTAAAATTTTTTGAAACCTTGTCAAAAATTATATGAATAAAGTATACTAATTGGATGTTGCAAATCAATTCTGAAGCAAGGAAATTTGTGTTGGTGCAAATTTTTCTGTTAGTTACCAAATTATTTTTAAAGTAAAGCTTTGCTTGCGTTAAAATTGGTCTATTTTTTTAGTAAAAGTATTTTTTTAGCTGTGAGGTAATATTTACAGTATTTTTGTGCACTTACCATATAATGGCCTTATGTTCTAACTTCTATTTTTGTCCAAAACACGAGGATCGTTATATTAAGCATTAAAATGCATCTATTCTTAGTTAGTTTAAATCTAAGTAATCTATAGTTTAAATATACTATTATTGATAAAATTGTTAGTTAGTAAATTATAAATAAGTATTAATGTTTTATTTACATTTAGGAGCAAAACCCTTATGCGAGGAAAAGTTTTCAGATGATTGTATGGATGTTTCTTACATTCCTATTTTATCTGAAGATTCAAGTGATGACTATAATTCTGATTCTTCAGGCAGCAGCTCTCAAGAATTTGATGATATTGATGAGCCTAGTATGCATAATTTATTTCTTTGCTTGAAAATATAAATAAAATTCTCAAATTTAGAAGATCTATTTTTTGATTATATAACTGTGTGCACAATGAAACAACCTTGATTGAAATTACTCTGTAAATGTTTTGTACAAATTTTTTTTTATTGCAGAACCAAAGAAAGTGCGCTATTCTTCACAAAAGAAAAGATGCCAAGATATGGTTGTTGCATATGCCTGTAAGGTCTGTAATTATATGTCTAAATAATTTTCTTTATTATTAAAATTTTATTTACAGAAAAGTTGCAATGATGGTCTGTTATGTCAAGTTAGTTACATGCCTTAAGTGTTTTTTTATTTATTTTTATTTTTAATTTTTTTAAGCAATGAATGAACTAACTATATGAAACAAATTAAATGGAACATAAAATATTAAAAAAAGAACAAATTTGTGTATTAGTTTTTTGACAATGAGATGAGTAGTGTTTGAATTAATTTATATTATTTGGATTCATTAATATTTGGATAATTATCCGTTATATTTTTAGTAAGATTTATTGTTTTACTGTTAAGTTGATAGTAAATTTTTTGTATAAAACCATTTAGCCTAGCAGGTAGTTGTTTTGAAATTCATTTATTTCAGATTTGCAAGAAAGTGTTTTTTCAATCTTATTTTTATTTTTAACTGAAATTATATAAATATATAAAAAAAATTTTACTTTGATATTTCTGGATGTTAAAATTTCTTTTGATATATTTTGAATAAAATTTGTTAGAATGAAAAGCCATTTTCATACAATAAAATTATTAACCTTTAAATCATTTGCAAAAATATGATTTGTTTCATCAAATATAACTTCTTTATTTATTTTCTTCCTCAAGAAGTTTAATTACTGATTATAATTTTGCATGAACTTTTTTTAGGGTCACAGTAAACCTGGTCAACTGTTATATGAGAAATGCATTGATTTGGGAGTTCCACCGTAAGTTATTTTATGACAAATTCTTCTTTGAATTTTGTTTTAACTTAATTTCAAAAAACAAGATACCATTATTAATAAAATAAAATAAAGTAAAATTTACAAAAGTATGACAAAACTGAGTACTTTTCCAAATTGTTATGTTTTAGTGCAGTTAATTGTTTCATTTGCTATGTTTCATACGAAACTTTCATCACAAAAATTGATATTAAGTGAATGTAAATAAGAAAAAGAAAAAGTATAAACTTTTAGTCTGTCAAGAGAAAATATGAACAAAACAAATATTTTAACTCATAACAAGCATCTTTTATATTTTTTTGTCCCTATGAGGACTATACATCTTTTTTATTTATTTAAGCAAATATTTTCTTGCATAATATTTGTGCATTCTTTACGAAGTTTCATATAATATTTTATGTTTTCTTTTATAATGTATATCTTACTTGGCATTAATTTTTACCCATATTTTACAGGTTTATCTCTTACTTTGCAAGACATGGGTGTTCCTGAAATTACTCTACATGGTCCACCNTAATGAATGAGTGAGTGAAAAGAAGAAATGTTTAATTAATTGCAACATATATATAGCATCTTGCAACATTAAAAGTCAAATCTTACTGATCTTGGTAATAATTATTATGTGAGCTGTTGCAGTTGTTCTATAAAAATATTTTTTGCAATTAGTTTCATTTTTACAAATGATGTAAATCTGTTTCCATTTCCCTTCTTAAGGTTTTAATTCCTTTTAAATATTCAGCAATTTGCACAATTCTTTGCAAATTTTTTATTAAAAGCATTTATTTTTAAAAGTTGTTTTGACTATAATTTATTTTTTAAAATCCAGTTATGTAAGTTATAATTTGTATTTCTTATTTTTGTATTGTATAAGAACAAGATAGTCTGTTAAAAATAAGTAAATGCATTCTGAATTGTCAGTTGTTGAAGAAAGGCATCAAAACAATTGAGTCACCTCAAGTGATTTGTTGTGTAATTTTGCAAAGTTAACTTATTAGATTATGTACTTTATTATACCACTTTTTAATTTCAAACACATGAAAAATATCATCTATTTTGCAACATTTGCATTTGTTCAGTTTTTCTTTAAAGTTATTTTTATTTGATGAATATTTTTATTAAAATTTATCTAGAAGGTATTTTATAAATATTTTTATTTCAATTTTTCATACAATGAAATGCATAAATGTATTTTGATTGTTGTCAGGGGTCCTTTGTTAGGAGATTTAAAAAATGGCAAAGATGTTTGTCTACCTACAGGGAAAGTTGTGAGTAATATTTTGATATTAACTATGCATAATTTTTTTCATCCTTGTTATTTTATTTTTGTGCCTAATGTCCTACTTTTATTGTGTGCGGTAGCCTAATCTCAATGAATTCTGAATTTTATTTTTAACAATCTTAGTTGAAGATACATCCAGATTTTAATCTAAATCCATTTTACTAATAGCTATATCTCTAATCTATCTTTCTGTATATAATACTTCTTTTCATCATCTAGAATTAAAATTTTTTTATTAGTAATTTTAAAGCTATAGTGTATTTTTGTACTGAACATTATGAGAAAATATGCTTTTTTGTTTTTATGCTTTTATTCATTTGCCATTTGGGGATTGCATTTATGGTCTGATAACAAAGTTATCCGTTTCTCTCTAACTTTCAAGCAGTTTCAGCTATGAAAGTGGTGTCTAATAGTGTATACTAATAATGTATTCGTTTCTTAATAAAGTCCCATGCAATACAAAGCAGATAAAATCTGGAGAGTAAGCATTCCTTTCTCAAAATTGGTGGGAGGTAGAAAGAAAAAGAGTTTTACAAAGTCAATTTGGGATGTTGACTTGTTCCACTGCATGAAAAAAATTTTTTTTTATGGAATTCAAAATTTGTGTTTTAATGTAAGTAATTCTGTGTTTAATACATTTGAAACAAAATGGTTTTTACCACCGTTGCATATAAATAATTCAATTGTTATTTTAAATAACACATTTTATTGCACAAATTGTCTTAGAAAAATTCCATGTATTTCTGAAGTTTTTTTTAAAAAATTTCTACCACTTCATAAAATTTTTTCCGAAAGCATAGCTTTTCTTTTCATTGTGAAATAACTTATAATTTTAGGTAATGCAATTTATAATGCTCCATAATTCTAAACTATAATATAGAATTTTAAAATTTTAATATGGGTTTATTATTTTGGTGGTTTTACATGTTGTGCTGTAATTTTAAGAACACGTTTAGTATTAACCATTAATTTTAAAATATATTAATGGGTATGGGTACAACCTAAAAGTTTAGTATAATATGATGTACGGTACATAATACTACTGTACTGCATATTAAACTTACAAAAAATGTAATTTTGCTTTCAAAGACATACCCTCCAACTGCTACGGAATTTCCGTAGTTTCAGAAATCTTCTTTTCAGACGGTAGCAAAATTAATGTCTTAATGTTTAAGAAAAATTAATTTTAGCGTAACTTGTCCACTATTACTTATAAAAGTGCAGGCCATATGGCTAGATTCTTAAGTTCTGATAAAAGTTTTATGAGAGATCCATTTGCTTTAAAAATTTCTACTTTGGTTCGCTACCACTAGAAAGAATTATTTTCAAAATCCTCATAAGTTGGAGAGTATGCAAAGATTTAAAACTTTGTATTTTTGTTTCTAAAATGAATTATTTTTTTATTATTTGAATGACAACTTATTCTCAATTTTAATTTGATTAAACAGTGCAAGTTATTTTTTGCTGAGTTTTGTAAAAAAGTAATGAATAAAAATTTTTTCTTTACTATTAATAATATTTACATGAGTTAGTCAGCTTACTAGATTGAAATATATAGCTTTTTTAGTCTTAAAATTGCTTTTGAATATGCAACTTAAATGAAGTTAAACACTCCACTTATTTATTATCATTATTTTGTAATTTATGTATTTTATTCAATCATATTATTGAATAATGAAATTTATATTATATAGGTTCTTTCAAAAGATGTTGTGTCTGAAGTTCAGCATTGCCCAGTTTTCTTAGGTTAGTTTAATTTCTATAAGCTGTAAACAACTATATATATATAGTATTTAATTAAATTTTACCGTTATATATTCCTGCATTGTTATGATTGTTGCTTAAAATAGACATTTCCACATAAAATAGCTCCTAATTTATAAAATAGCTGTTTTAGTTAAATTTGTATCATCTTAAAATTATTTCTGCTTTAGTTCAAGTGAAATAAAACAAACAACTTTTTTATAGTTATGATTCTAGAGCAATAGAAATTAGTGTAGTTTTCAAGATATAAGTGAACCTTTTGAATTCTAAATAGCAATGATAGTTAGAGGTTTTACTTATATACCCAGGACCATGCAAAGCACTTCAAATTATTAGCCAGTAAGTTCAAATATCAAAAGTAAGCTAATTTTAAAAATTCTTAGCTAAAAGCAAAACTCGAATAATTTTTATGATTGAATTTTTTTCTGTAAAAAACTTAAAATCAAAATGCAAATTTACTAAAAAATGAATTATTTTATAAAATTCAAATAAAGTGTCAATTTGCAGATAGGATGGAGTAAATGAGCAATGAATAGATAAAAATAGGGATAGGTTAATTTGAGGGGGTTAATTTAATCTTAGACTAGAGTCTAAGACTTAGTTTTAGTTTACTTCTTAGACATAAGAAGTCTTCTTACTACAGCAGTAACATAAGGATAAACCTGAAGCAACATTTTGTTGTTGTCTTCTTATTGATATGTTATTGCATGAGAAAATATATTTTCTGCAAATATATTTGGATGATAATATGCATCTTGCTACCATTTAATCTGTTTTATTGACACAAACTGTAGGAAAGAATTTTGCTCCGCAATATTGTGCGATCCAGTAATGAGCATATTAATCTGTGTTTTACTGTAGTTTTTTACTCATTCTTAAGTAATCTCTCCTGTTGCTTATGCTTACATTATCTGGACTTATTATAATTATAATTGGTTTTTCACTGCATATTATGGAAATCAGTGTAATCAATTAAAGAATACAAGATTTCTTCTACAAAATTCCTTTTAACCTTTTATACTCGATTTTTTTTTCTATGATTGAGTGTAATATATATTTTTATTTTCAATATAAATACTTTACCTAAAACACATTTCTTTCGCCAAACTTAGGATCTTGTCTCATTTGGCGAGGTGGCGAATGCTTAGCACTGGCCATGCATGTATACCCATAAAAAGAAATTTTTTTCTGGAACAAATGACGCTTTAGCTTAAAAAATTTCCGAGTGTGCGAATTCAAATACAATAAAAGTAATACAATTATAAAAGAATCGTAACTTTTATAGAACAGAAGTAAAAGCTTTTTACAATATGTCGTAGATCGTTTGACATGACTCTATTTATTTGAAAAATTTATAGCTTGTTAATGTCATTGATTTTAAATACTTCATTTGAGGTATGATCATATGGTTTTCATTTATATTTTATGATGTAAGATAGCAGTAAAACATTTTTAGTTACTTGTTTAAATTTTTAATAATTTTTTTTTGAGTATAAGATAAATTTTTGAAATTAAAATTTTTTATATTATAAATTTTTTTTAAATAATAAAGTCTTATGATAGATTAAAAATTTTTATTTGAACTAGTCGACATTTACACCCAATGAACTCTAAAATCACGATTTTGAACAAAGAGTTGGTTTAAACACCAGATCTGCTAATATTCTGGTACTCTTTAATATCTAGTTTCATAAGTACAAATCTCTTACTCCAAATTGTTATAAAAATTGTTTCAAACCAATTATGCATCAAACTGTTCCAAAATACACTATTCTTCATGTAAAAGCTTTTATTTTTTTATTATATTTTTTTTTTTATTTTTAGTTGTAGAGTGCCCTTTACCTAAATTTCTTAAGCCTTTTGTAAGTGAGGAAAAGTTTTCTCAGTATCAAGACGCCTCATCTCCTTCATCTGAAGCAGCCTCACTTGTTGTACATTTTACCCCGCCAAATATTTTGACAACTCCAGAATATCAAGATTGGATGAACAAGTATGTATACTATTTTGATTACTTCATTAAGTTGTGGAGATTTGGAGGATAGTATCTCAAATGTATATCTTTGTATCAGGTTAACTGTGTATATTATGTGTTAATATTGAACTGTAAACATTTATTTATTTATTTTTTATTAATAATAATTTTGTTTATTTGTCCAGACCAAGTCAGATACATACATTTAAGCTTAATTTTTCATTTTGAGACATTTTGAAATTCCTTTTTTAATTTTTTTAAAAAAATGTTCGGTAGGTGAAACATTCCAAAATTTAAGTGAATTTAATAATGATTTTCAGGGTGAAAATTACTAACTCAGTTACAATATTTATTTAAATCATATTGTTAATCAGTATAATTTTTCTTTAATAGTTTCTCGTTTTAAAGTGTATATCAGTAATACTAGTATTAGTAAGTGTTACAACTGAATTTGCAAATTTAAGTAATTTTGTTTCTTATTCACAAGTAAGTTTGATAATGGCTTTATTATCATTTGATTTTATTATGTCATGAAACTAAGTTGCATTTTAAATTTTTGATGTAGCTTTAAATAGTTTCAAATAAATGCCAGACCTATAAATTATAAATTTTTCTATATTTTCTACAAAATATTAGTTTTTTTGTATATCTATATATTTTTGACGTTCATTTATCACTTTGCGATTCCTTACAAAATACATAGTTGACATATATATTTTATTCAAAATAAAAAATCTTTTCATAATAAAAAATTCTTTTTATGATGAAAAATTTTTTCATTTCTCTGTTTTGCAAATTTGTTATCTAGAAATTTGTATTTTATTGATATTGTTTCAGAAAAGCAATAAAAGCCACATTATTTTATTTCTAAAATTGTATGTAAAAAAAAATGCTAAATATATTTATAAATTTTTAACATGCCTTTAAAAAAAATATTTTTAGCTTATTTTGTTAAATAATTTATTTATGATAAGATTTGTTCTTTTTGTACTTTAGGTTTCCTGATTCAACGTGCCATTTGATTTTAAACAAAACCAATGCAACTCTTAATAGTGCAGGAGTTCATCGAATCCAGCACAAGCTAAACTTGTTGCACCCTGGAATATTTAGTTTACTACATGAAAATGATGTAATAATTATAAAAATATTTTTTACAATTTAGATGTATAGTTTAGAATTAGTAACTTATTTTTAAAAATATCAGTTAGCACTCTTCACTTTAAATTTTTTTTAACTTTTGTAAAATGTTTTTAACAATTATTTTCAATACAAATCAAATTTACTATTTTGTTTTCACTAAATATTAACCACTGATTTCCTTTGCAATCTATGTATGTTTATTTTCTTATAGTTTCATACATGCACTTATAATTTATATTTTGTGTTACTAATATTTTCTTATTTGAAAGACTGCAGAAGAATTTAGAGAATATCAAAAAGAAAACATTATTCAAGCCAACACTTTAGATAGATATTACTTGCGTCCTCCTAGAGGATTAGATAGGTGAGTTTCAAATTAACCTTTTTATTTAATTTATAATAACAAATATATATTTTTTGTATACAGGGTTTTCCAAAATGTCTGTCTTTAATCAATGTTTTAAAACTTCTTTTCTAAAATATGGTTAGAAAAGTATGCAATTAGGCTTCACCTACCAATATCTAAGCAAGGAAAAATGAAAAACGCTATCTCTATCTAACAAATGTTTGAAAAAGACATATCTTTTATATCATAAAGATATCTAATAAAATTAGTGATAATAATTTTTTTTACTTATTTTTCTATTTTTTTTCTTCCTATTTTAGCAATATTTTATTTTCATGCTTTATTTTATTTTCTAGTCCATTCTTCTGTGAGTGTAGTGTATTAATTTAAGAGTACTTTTTATCTGTTTATTAATTCAAATTTAGAAATCATTGTCTCTGTGACAAATGTTGAAGAAACATATAAATCTAAAGGGGAGAAAAAGGAATTAATGAGCATTTTTTTGTAGCTTGAAAATAATCACAATTTATCAGAAAAAAAATGTTGCATTAAATCTAATTTTTTCAGCAGTCTCTTTTATATTGAAGATTTCTTTTATTAATTTCTTTAGTTAGTAAAAGCAAGTAATGTAGTATTATTTTTTAAAAATAGAAGTTTTAGCATAAAGATGAATTCAGAAGAATTTATTGAGGAAGCTATGCTAATAGAAGGTTTTCAAGAAAGTCTCAATCACCTGAAAAATAATATACAACAACATTCACTGCAACAATCTAATAGTAAGGAACAAAAAAATTTATTTTTATTTATATACAAATTTATGTTTAAGTTTGTTTTATTTTAGTATTTTTTGCATTTTTTAGAAGATCATTTTCCCATCATGTCATTTCTTGGGACAGGCTCTTGTATTCCGAGCAAAGCTAGAAATGTATCAGCAATATTAGTAAACACAAGGTAACTTCTTATTTTATTTTTTTGTCTTACAAAATTTATCAATTATTTGTATTATGGTAATTTAAGTTTTTTGATAGGTCATCTATATTTATTTTGTTCATCAATGCCCCTATTTAGTAAGCTTTCCAATTGAAGTTAGTATAAACACATACTTAAACTAATATTAAAATTTATATTCAGTAACCGTGTTAAGGTTGAAAATGAGTGATAGTGAGTTCAAATCCCATGTGAAGTACTTTTTTTTCTTTTTTGAAAACTGAATCATACCAGTTTAAAATACCTCTCTATTTATAATAAATGTTGTTATAATAATGAAAAAAATCGTGTTTGTTATTATAAATGTTGTATAATAAGACATTCTCAGATCATTAATAAATATATTTTTCTGCTGGATACACATATTTCTTTAACATACAAAATATTTAAATTGCAATATGTTTTTTAATAAAATGATATTTCCCATCCCATTTTTATGCTCCTAGGAATACATTCTAAATTTTATTAAAACTCTTACCATTTTTTTATTTATTAAGCATTATATTAATTCTTGATAATATTATTTTAAGAAATATTTTATTACACATTCCTAAAAATTTTTTTTTTTAAATTTATGTCTTGATTGGCTGATAAGATATTATTAAAGTATTGGGTCTTAAAGTATAAAGTGTCCGATTACCTAAAGTCTCTAGTTTGATGCCAGTTATGTTTGATGTCTCCGATATTTCACTTCGATCGTCTTTTATTTTTCTTGCATTGAGAAGGTACGCCATCTAGCTTTTAGATGCACTTTTTTGTTTTTAATAGTCTATTGTATTGTCGTCTGGAGGTTAAATATTGTAAGTCGTGGATAAGATAAAAATGCGAGTTATTTTCGAATATGAGTTCTCGTGACAACTGACTACCCTTTTTTCCTAGTTTTGGTAAATTTTTTGTAAGAAAAAATATTTAATTCCCAGCTTGTGGTTGAAAATGCATTTCGGGATTTCATCACCAGCTGCTCTCCAGATTTTTTCACTAGCGGTATTAATAAGCTATCGTTAAATTGGCAATGTTGTATTGATAGTTAAGGTGCATATTTTAATTAATTATATTATTTCTTGCCCGAGATATAATAAGCCAAACTTTCAGTCTCGAATCAGACGTTTCATACTTAATGACCCAATACCATTAAAATTTAGTTATTAGAAGATGCTGAATTATTAAATGAGATGAAACAAAAAATATTTTTCTGAAATAAAACAAAAAAACATTCAGTAATGGTTTTGTGCATTAATTTTTAGCAATAAACTTTGCTTCTTAAGTACTTTCACCCTCAATCTGTTTACCAAAGCAAAATGTTGTATTCTTCGTGATGGGCAAAAAAAAGAATACCAGCCCTAACTGCTCAATTTCCAAATTCTGGAATTATAAAAAGCTTTTACATACAAAACCGTCAGTGGATTAAACTTGAGAAAGGTTTCTGAATTCAGATCTATGACTTTTTCAGTTTTGAATTTTGATCTTTTTAATTTGTTATTATTTTTACTTGAAAAAATTCGATTATCTCATCTTGATACGTAATTTCTAACAAATTAGGATAAATAATATTTTTTCTCGAGTAAATATAAAGAATCTAAAACTTCAAGGTAAACGGAAGCAAAATTAAAACCGTAAACAATAATATATAAGCATTCAGAAACTTTCTTATAAACTCTATTGGTAGAAAGTGAACGGTGATACTAAGCTTAATATTGAAGTATATTCTAACTGAAGAAAATCTAACTTGAAACAATAATTTATCTGCTATTAATTAATATATTCTTTAAGCTCATTATGTATCAACAAATCTTTACATATGTTTAAATTTAATTCAGATGGGTTTTTTTTAAACCAGACATTTAAAACTGGCTTTATTAAATTGGAAGAATTATTGCATTAAGCAGAAGTTTTTTTCTCTCCAAAAGATGTGTATTGGATTTTAAAATAACATACATTTCAGATATAAAGTTTTCTGCCTTCTTTAAAAAAAAACTGTACTTGCCAAGTCACTTTAGATAGACCTGCGTCTAATTTTTTTTTCTTATGCAATTTTTTTAGGTACATTTCTGTTTTGTTTTTAAAACCAACCTTTTTTAAAAGTAAAAATTGCTTAAACTTTTTATTTTTCTACCTAGAAGCAATTTGTTTTACTTTCATATTTAAAATACTAGTAATCAATGATGTGAGCCCACCTTAATTTGAGTATATCTAACCTTGTTGAGCAGTTTGGTTCCTAGTAGATTACTGAAGTCAAATATCACATTCTGGGATCAGTAAGCAGGTGGGTGACCACTTTGAGCAGCCTCGGAAGAGACTGAGAGTGGTCCTTGTTAAATTTTTCTACCGTGAAGTTGCGCAAAGGTTATTGGACAACAGAAGCAAGATGAACCATCCCCTCCGCAGAGGATCAAAATTGTGAAGGCATGTCTTCACATTATCCTCAGGAATGTTTCCCAGACTGCCACCCGTAGCCCATCGTGCAGCTTTACTACGACGTAAAAAAAAAGTACTACTATCTTTAACCTTATTAGCATTAAATTTAAACAGTTACAGCATCTTTAATAATTTTTTCTAATTTATAATAAGAAATTTGATTAATTCTATTGTATATATATACTTGTTATTTCATGAAAGTTAATTTAAAATTAAAATGTATGCTTTAGATTTTATTTTTAAAATATGACTAATCACATATATTTTTTCTTTGCTTTAAAAATTCTTGTTAACATTAAAAAAAAGTTAATGAATAAATTTAAGTAAAGACTAAACTGAAAAGTTATTGTTTGAAAATATTTTTTATTTTAGCATTACATTTACTTTTATTCTAAAATTTTCCTGTTTTACATAGGCTTTGAAAATGGAAATAATCTAACTATGTTTTTTTTTCTTTTTTTTGCAGTGAAAATAAATATATTTTGCTAGATTGTGGTGAAGGGACTCACGACCAGTTAGTTAGGCTGCATGGTAAACATCATAAGAAAGTCTTGGAACACTTAAATTGTATTTTTATTTCTCATATGCATGCTGATCACCATTTGGTAATAATCATTTTATTTTATTTTGTGTTGTTTCAGGTGTTAATATACTATTATGTGTGGAATTTATACAAATTTATTTCAGATAAGATTCTTTTTGAATTCCATATTTTGAATTAATTTTTAAAATATGCTTGATGCAAAACATTTTTATTAACTCTTTGTTGGTGAGTAATTTTATACAGAAAATATTTTAGGGCACCAGCTATTATTTTTGTATTTGAATGTAGAAATAAAATTAAACATACGAGATGAACTCCAATAAATTTTATTTATTTTGAATGAAATGCAATGAAATTTTGGAAAAGGATATTGCAAAGCTTTTGCAATATTCTATATCACCCTGGATTGCATAAATTGAAATAGATAATGCAAGTGTAATGACTAGTTAAATCCTCGTCGTCAACAACATTTGGGGATGTAACGAAGAGTTAACTCAAGGCCAATCAACAATGTGTTTGTAAAAGAAGGAGTCATTTTAAGTTTTTAGCTTTTTTCGCATCTTCCAAATTTATTATTTGGTCATGTACTATGTATTTTTTTTATATAGTTTTAACAGTTATTTCTGTTGTCATGCTTAAAACTTTACATTTTATAACAATTTTTATTATAAAAATTAAAAATAAAATACTAATAATTGAAGAACAGCATAGTTTTTCCACTTTTATCACAAGTATGAAACTACTACTCTTATGGTTAAATTAATAATTTTTTAGATTGTTATAATTTAATTTATCTTTTAACTCAGTTAGTAACATATTCTTCCCATAGCTAACTAATATATTGTATCAATATTGAACTAACAAGAGTATAACAAATCATCTAAAATAATGCCTTTAATTCAATTGGTAAAATGGATGATTGTGATTCCAAATTCATTCCAACTTCCAAATTCATAATTAATTACTCTCTCTCTCTCTCTCTCTCTATGAGTTTATGAATCAAGAAAAAAATATTACCTAGGTACAGTATTCATACCATTGGTTTTAAGCAATCAAAAGAAAAGGTAACCAAGTAAGGGTATATGTTGAAGAACTGTTATTATGGCATTAATGGGGGAAAAAAATTTAGTATGTGGGTTTCTTTTTAGTCGTATATTTTTTGTGAGTAATAAATGAGATTAGAAAAGTCTTATAATATGTGTATAAAAATTTTTTTTCATTTTAATAATGTTTTGTCCTTTATTTAAATAATCAGCATTTTATTTTACTGTAGTTCATAAATTAATATTTTTTACATTCCTAATTTATTTTGCTGCAGCAGTTATTTTGTTGTATTGCTTTCCTTAGTCGATTAGTCTGTGATTATCAGCCTTTTAAGTGTTCATTCATTTGTACTAATTTTTTATATGCTTGTATATCTTAATGCTATGTATTAAATATTTCATGATAATTATTTTGGTTTTAAATAATTGAAATTTTTTATTTCTTATTGTTCTTGAATCTTAATCCTAATGATATTTTGAAATACTTGATGTTTTGTACTATTGTTCTAAACTAATGAAAGATTATTTACAATTAGTTTTTCTTTCATTAGAATTAGTATCCTTTAACTACTAAACTTCAAAACTGTACTTTAATTTGAGTACAATTTAGTACTTTTCATGTCTTTTTGTTTCTTGTTCCAGGGTTTAATTAAAATTTTAAAAACCAGAGAAGATTTGTACCGAAATATGAAAATTCAAAATAAACCTCTTTTACTTATTGGACCAAAACAGTTAAACTTTTGGTTAAAAAACTATCACAGGCAGATAGAGCCCATTACTTATCTCTACAGGTAAACTGAACTTAAAATCTGAATCAACTTAAAATAATTTAAGTATTTTCTCTTAACAAAAAATTTACTTTTAGGTTCTTAGAATGTACTTGTTTGGAGCATAATCAGATGGTAAAATTAGAAAACACTATAAAAATTAGTAAACATATTCAAGTAAGTTCCCTAAAATTTCATAGTTCTATAAACTTAATGTATGTTAAATATATGTAAATTTACTGACCCAATTATATTTTTAGATATCAACAGTTCCTGTGCAACATTGCCCTGATGCTCATGGTGTTATCATAGCTCCCAAAGATTCTAAATGGAAAATAGTCTATTCTGGAGATACTATGCCTTGTGAAAAACTAGTTGAAGCTGGTAAACAATATAATTTATTTAAATTTATTTTTCTTACCTAAGAAAGTCAAACATCTAACTTAGAGCTTCTGTACATATTTTTCTCAGATTTCTCCTCAAAACCAATAATATTATTACTATAATAAAAAAATTTTCTTCAAATTTATATACAAATATTTTCTTTCAAAACTAAGATATAATTTAAATTCAATGGGAAGAGCCAATAATTAGTGAAATTGTATCGGTATACTACTTTATCAAATGATTTAATGCACTTATACAACTGAGCAACTTTGATCATATTTAATTTCTGTGTGTTTCTTTTATATATGTTTTTTAATTTCTCAAACGTTGCAAAGTTTTCTAAAACTGGTTTTAAAAATCATTTGTATGTATTTTATTTTAATAATATGTTTATTTGCTAACTGTTTCTAAATGTGTGACTAGAAACTAAGTAATATACATATACCACTGAGGTGCAGAAATAGTATAAGAATTCATAAACTTTAAAAGATTATTTTCTGATTAAAACAGTGCATTTTATAGGTATTTTATGGATTTTAACCTTTCACTTTCAAGATCATTTTTTATTTAATATGCTGATATTTTGTAATTTAAAAAAAAAAAACTTTATGTTTTTTTATTATTTATTTTTAACGAAATAGCTATGAAAAACACCTTTAGGTATTCTTCATCTATGTATATTTAAAAAATATCTAACTTGTCCATTCAAAATGCTTACAAGCATATTACTTATGTTCTCCTTTAAAAGCTAATTAAATTCTATCAATGCTTATTAATATATATAAATACACACACTTTATTAAAGGTCGAGATTGTTCTGTATTGATACATGAAGCTACTATGGAAGATGATTTGCTTGATGAGGCAGTCATTAAAAAACACAGGTAAAAATTTATATATTTTATGTAATTTGTGAAATGCATTTAATACTGCAGAAATACTAAATATATACTAATTATTTATTATGTGCCCTTTAAGACAGTTAATTATTCAAGTTTAAATTTTTATCTAAAAAAAGTCTTTATTATTAAAGGTTAATGTCATTTACATAAAATCATATAATTAAAAAGTAACCATAACCTCTAACTGATACTCATTTAACATAAGGGATCATGTGACATAGAGAATGGTATTGATGTGAGCAGCATTAAAAAAAATATATTCCATATATTATAACTCTCAATTAAATTGAAACATTAAGTCTAGAAGAAAATAAAGGATAGAGTTCAGTCCATGTATAGATGCTGTGGCAAATGGTTAATTGCAAACTGAGTGCATGACATGATTGTTTAGCTTAACTCCTCAAAAATATAAGCATATTAACTATGCTCTTTTTGTAATATCACTATTAATGAACAGCATTAGTTTGTCATGACCTTGACTCTAATTTAGATTAGCTCTGGCCGTTTAGAAGCTGCACTGGACAGGGATATCATGTCCCTCTAGATGAATAGTCGTTAAATAAATAGTTTCATCATGTTTTTAATGTTTAAAGTTCATTTAACCTTTTCGCGCCGACTTTCACATGTACGTGCCAGCAAGAAACGCTCTCACTTCCCGGCTGACACACCCGTGTGCCAGAGCGTTTTCTCGTTCACCCCCGGCCGTCACTCATTTGTGCCAGCTTTTTGGAACGTTTTAAAAAATAAAATTTCTTCCAAAAGATGCCATTGTATGTCCATATGGTTTCAGATACATATAGATTTGACCTTCTACTTAAGATGAGAGTACATTCACGTGGTTTTTAGGAGGAAGGAATGGAGGGGGAAGGAATGTTTTATGATGGCTCTTTAAATTCGCATGTGGTATTTGTTTACAATAAGCAGGGGAGGTTTTTTTTCTCGCTACTTTCGATTTTCGGTTTAGTTTTTAGTGGGTATTTAGATCTTGTAAATCCCTGTTTTAAAATTTTTCATTCGAAAAAAGAACTTTAAGTCATATATTTAGTTTTCAGATATGTAATGTTGAATGTTAGTAAATGATAAGTACATAATGAAAATAAAATGTGTCAAATATATATTTATTTATATACATTTAAACAAGAAATAACTTAAGGGTGTCTTGGAGAGAGATTCTTCTTTCGTCGTCCTCCATGTTAGTCTATGGAGAATTATATGATTCTTAGCCTACTCATTATATAGTCACTAATTAACATTTTGGAATTTNCACCCTTAAGTAACTAAAGTATCCATAGAAATATATATATAAAGCATATGTCATTTAAATATTCTACAGAATAATATTAAACAACGCGTTGATGTTTCGGTAATTTCATGGAATTAGGCTTAACAGCAAAAAACCCTCTGGCCCTGGAGAGAGACTGACGGCCTCAGCGGTAAGCGCGCTTCCCGTTGCGAAAGGGTTAATGTTTTGGTATTTCAAGTTCTAATTGTAGTGCTGTATTGTTCTGTGGCAAGTGGCCTGATGTAATGATGTGTTACACTTTCTCATATATTCAACAACAATTTTAGTAAAAAAATAATATAGCCTGGCATAAGATTAATAAAATACCATTTAAAATTGTGTTGTAAAGCTATTATCTATGATACAATGTAATTTTTAAAGTAGGGTAGGTCTTAGCGGATTTATTTGAATTTAGTTCTGATAAGAACTGGTTGTGTATTGAATTTATAAAATTTGTATGATGGCAATCACATATAAGTTTTGTGTGTAAAACAGATAAAATAAGAATAAGTTTACAATTTATTTTTAATAAATCCTACGCTTAGAAAAATGAGGAAAACAAATATTTATTTTTATTGAAATAAATGGGGAATTTCTAATCTTTATTTTTTAGTTAAATATTTTTAATCAAAAATATCTTTCAAAATTAAATTTATTGAATACTTATAATTTATAGGGGCAAAATATAAAAAGCTTTCACTGAAAAATTGATTTTGTCACGTATTCATTATTTGTTCTTGTTCTTTACTATTTAAGTACTTAGCGAAAAGTTATAAACTAATGCATCTTCAGACTGTATTTTTTAATTTTTAACATGAACTATTAAATCTGTATTTTCTAATTGGTATTTGCTAAATTTTTAATTTTGTTTTTCAATTTTGATAAAATATTAAATTAGTTCTGAATTTGAAACAAAAGCATGCATGTTTTAAGTGATGGGAACCACTCCATTTAAATTATTTGATGATTCAGTTAAAATAGTTATTCTCATCATGACTGATTAATTCATGTAAATTTAACATTTGACAGTTTCAATATTTGCATCAGTTATATAATAAGAAATATAAAGAAATATTTCTATTATGTAATATTTTAAGCATACATATTTTTAACTAATTTTCAATTATGTTTTTTTGAAGTACAACTAGTCAAGCAATCAAGATAGGTGCAGATATGAACTCAAACTACACCGTACTTACTCATTTTAGTCAACGGTATGCAAAGATACCACTCTTTAATGAAAATTTTCACAATCATGTTGGCTGTGCCTTTGATAATATGACAGTAAGTAATGCTATTTCTTAAATCTATTTTACCATAGAGTATTGCAAAATCAATGATAAGATGTGTCAATCACTTCATCATTTGAGTGTGTTTTAAAAAAAAAATTTTAATTTTAAGTGGTATATTTACTAATACTGTTGATAAAAATTATGTGTAATACAATGCTTATTATGTTTAGAAAATTATGATTTCTTTGATACTAACTTTTTTTTTCTTCTTATTTTTTTCTGTCCAAATTTTACTGCTCAGCAGTGTTTTTTTCCCCTACTTTATTCTTTCTTAGTTTTATTTTGCATGCCTTTTTATTTATTATTTGATTAAAAATTTAGTTTCAGCTTTGCAATAGTGGATTCATTATTTATATTTACTACTCATTGTTATTACTATTTTTATTTTGTATAATTATTCATATCCAAACTAATTTTTTACATTTTTATTAGTATGTTAGTTTGTTTAAAAATTTTCATGGTATATTTTATTGAATTTAATTGCATAAAATTTATTTCCATTCCCTATTCTATCAAACCTTTAAATCTTCACCTTTAAAAATCGATTATATGCTGTATGGGTAAACACAAAACAGTTGTTACTAAGGATATATTGAAATACAATTCAATTTATATACCACTCTATATATTTAGATACTCTATGTATCTTTTTAGCTGTTATAAGATATAAACTATTTCAGCATAATGCGAAAAACAGTGTCAAGTTCAAACTATTTTTTTTTTTTTACTTAGCTAAAATTAGGTTTTGGTGAACTGTTTTGTATTCATTTGTTCATATTAGCAATTTTCAGCCATTTTTTTGCAATATTAACTTATAGAATTTTATTTAAACTTTAAAAATAAACTTTTCACAGTGAAAAAAAAAAGTTTTTTTTTTCATTTGAAATTTTTTTAGAACTCATTATGATGATTAAGCAACATCTAACAAAACTTAGAAAGTACTTTAGTGATGAAGTTTATCAAAAAATATTAAAACAAATAATCGAAAATAAAATTTTGTGAGAAAAAAGGCTCATTTATTATTTTCATGCCAGATATTTGATATGTTATTTTCTTTTTAAACGCTGATATAATTTTCAGCAGATACTGAACGTAATATTTAGTTTAATCATTAAATTTTTGTGTATGTATAGCATAATTACATTTTGTTATTTAATAAAATGCAACAATTATAAATTTGTATAACACTTAATTTTTTATTGCACTATCATATTAATAGTCAGAGGCATCACATTCATAAATTTTTGTACATGCTGATTGTCTGCAGCAGGTGTTTCCAAAGTATTTGTTATGGCATCTTAGACTGTTGTGAGGTGTTCATAGATTCAAGTCTAATGTTTGCCATTTTTAAAAATTTATTCATAATGCAGAAAATAATTTAAAATTCATTATTTTTGTAGAAAAGTTTAAGGTAGTGCTCTCTTCCCTTTAACTGATTTAGCTTTGTACTCTCTTTTAAAAACAAGCTAAAAGAGATCTCTCTTCCAAAGAAGAAACTGACATTTTTGTTTACCACTTATTTTTCTTTTTAGAACATGATGGACCTTGTTATTTTAACACTTTCAGTCACGCTGATAAATGTCCAGTTTTGTAGCCTTTGCAAGGGCGCCGGGTGCAAGGGGGTGCACTTGCACCCCCTGGCTTTTTTTTTTAAAACTATTAAAGAGTATAACATTTTTTAATTAAAAATATTTTTTTTCGAAAACAAATAATTATGTAATTATTGATATATAACAATTAAAAAAACTGTTTAATCAAACAAGGATTGTAATAATTTTGTTAGCTGTCCAAATTTATTTATAACTTTTTCAATGAATTCTGAGTTATCTTTAATTCTTTTCTTATGCGCACTGAGCATGCACAAACTACTTAACCTCTCGTGAAGCATTGTAGACCGATTCCATATTTTGATGCGTTGCATTGTACTAAAAGTGCGTTCAATAGAGCACGTAGTAGCTGGAAGAGTTAGGCTAATTTTGATTGTCTCCGTTACAGCTAGATAAAACGGTGTGGCCTCAATAAGTAAATCGATCAGGGATTCATAAGAATTTTCTCTATTCCTCCACATTTCGTACCCCTTAATATGGTACTTTTTTTTAAAATGTATTGTTAACAATGAAGAAATGTATCTTGAAAAAAATTAACAGATGAAAGTATATGTAATAACAAAACAAAATGTGACAACAGAATATTTGTAATTTTTTGGGGGGGATGGGGAGTAGTTTGTTAGAGGGTTGCACCCCCTTTTGTATTATTCTGCTGGCGCCCTTGAGCCTTTATACTAGTTTATGTGTTCATACCACGTTAATTTGCAATCCTCTATCGGTTAAAACAGTACTGGGAAGCTAATACATTAAAAAACACTAAAATCAATGAATTACATCAAGGTGTATGGTTCTTTGAAGTGCTATAATCTTCAATTTTATTGATGCAGGTCACTTTAAATCTATTACAGAGGGATAGATTGCATGGTTGCTTATCAAAATGTTTTCACTTTCCATCTCACTAAATGAATTTACAATATCTTTAATTATGCACAGTAATTTCTCTTCATTTCTACTTTTTCTTATGTTATTAAAGCTGATGATTATTGTTAATGCCTTTTTATTAAGTACAATTAAATGACCTGTTTGGATTTTAAGTAGAAGTTATCATTAACTATATTTAAATTCTCATCACTCATCATTCTTAACTATATTTCTGTCTCATAGTTTTGCACATAGGAACAGATATTATTAGTACATAATACTGTGAATAAATCTCATATTGTAGCGTCACAAGATAATTTTAAATCGTGTAAGGTTATCGCAACCTGAATAAGTTTAGAAACCTCTGGCCTATAGACAAAAACAAACCAAATATGCCATCAATCTGTCCTGGATAAATTGGGGTGATTTTGGACACAAAGGATTTTAATAAAAAAATGAAATAATGCATTTTAAAAGGTTCTAAATTAAATCTATTTATCCCCTTTAAAAGGTACCATAAAAGGGTGATAGATTAATTATTTTAGTTTATCTAGTTATAAAACTTTTATTTACATTTAGTCTACCACTTGTTAAAAATAAATTTTGGTTATTTAATCTTCAGTGTACAAAAATCAGAGCCGAAAACTAATTGCATTCTGTTTTGATCTTCAGATTCTATGTAATTAAAATGCAAGTCTATGTAATTCGATGCAAGTATATTAAAATGGCACTTTTTTGGGATGTTTTTCAAAATATATTATAAAAAGTTGATGTTAAAAAGTAATAATTTTTCGTATTTTGTTTTTTCCAGGTATGTTCCGATGAATTATACATTCTACCTTTGCTTATTCCAGCATTGAAATGCTTATTTGCAGAAGATGTCGAAGATATGAATAACAGGGGCGATAAAAGAAAGAAGAGAATTGAATTAATTAATTCAATGTTAAATGAATCAGTTGCAAATAAAATGTAAAGTAATGTTATTGAATGTAAATAAATATTTTATTTTCTATTTGCATTTAGTTAGCAAATTTAAAATAGTAGTATGCGAAATTTATACTCAACTGCAAAAAATTTTAAAAAATTCTTAAGTTTTAATTTAGATAACTGAAATAACATTGATTTATTGATATTTTATTACTTAACTCTTGTACTAAAATTTTATACTTAAGCTGTGGAATTTTCATTGTGAATATGAATTTTATCTTTTTAACACATAGATGTGTACACCTACCATACTATCTAGCTTTTGGCCATTGAATTATTGTCTCAGGCCTTTTTTCTATTAAGTGGATAAATTAGTTGATCCATGTACAACTTGCTTGCAGCCCTTACTCTTTACCTTCTGATAACAGAATTTCTTTCCGAGTTTGATTGTATCCCGTTTGCCGTTAGTTCTTTTTTTAGTAATCTTTTTTTGCTCAAAATGTCTGCCTCCCAAAAAAAAAGATAAATATATAATATTTAAATTAATTAAGCATATACTAATGCTGTGTTAAATGCAAACAGTGATATCTGAACTCACACAGAGATAAATTTGAGTAAAATTTTTTCCACTGTTTTATTTTTTTCAAGCACCAAATTTACTATGTACAGTTTATCTGTGTTGGTAGTTTTAGGAAAATATGCTTGTTTTCAATGTTCTATACACTCAGTTTTTGTACTTAACAGCTTGAAAACTTTTCAGTATTTTTTTTCATTTTTTTTTTTATGGGATTAATATGAAATGGTGTAAAAACAGCAGCATTAAAAGTAATACCTACATGGTATTTGAGCCGAGTTCGTTATAGCCAACACGCTGTTACAGTATCTCCTTGTCAAAGCTAGATTTTCCGAATTTGTTGACTGAAAAAGCAAATCAGAAAAAGCTGTATTTTTTGAAATTTTTTTATATAATGTTAAATTGGTCACTCTGCTTTAAAATAATAGGTTAATTTATTATTTTTAGGCTTACAAAGTTAAATTTAATGTAAAGAATGTGAGCTTGTTTTTATCTTCATTATAACTCTGCTTAGTATATGTTATGCGATGGTCACAAGAGGTATGAGGCTTTTTGAATTTCTGTTGGCAGGAATATGATTTTAAAGTGTTGCATAAACGTCAAAGCATGTTTTATGCTCTTTGAAACATATGTAGGAGTTAATGAATAAAATGTAAGTCATCTTAAACAGGGCCAAGTAAAAGTGTTACAGGGCCTGAGGCTGATAAAGGGAGGCCCATTTTATTATAAAAATTTTAAGATGTTTTCAAAACTAATATCTTTCCAGAATTACTAATACTAATTTATAATAGTTAATGTTATTAAATAACAAAACATAAATTTTACCAATATTTTGTTAATTTAATTTAAAACCAGTTGAAGACTTAACAATTCATGCTGCACTACATACATAATGTAATAAAAATAAGTTATACTGATGTATTTACTATCGTAATTTTTGAATGTATTAAATAAAGCGAATTTGACTAAAATTAGTATATAAAAGCAAAGGTGATTGCATAAAAGAATAAAGCTGAAGTTTAAAATAAGTAAAATATTAACTTTTGGAAGGAAAAATTAATAGCTATTTAAAAGCTTTACGTTTTATTTTATAACCCGTATTGAACAGCCAACCCAATCCTGAGTTTACAACTATCAATGTTCAACTCTGTGGCCTTGTAATTATGAACCCAACTCAGAAGACAAAGTAACTCCTGGATCAAGCATTGAGACAAACTAGCTTTCATGGAGGACTTTTTAATGGAACTAGCCAGCATTTGCAGTACATGGAGTGGAAAGCTTCTCAAGGTTAGCCCAACAGCAAGGGGATTCTACCCTATGTCTTTCTAGCCATTTTGCAGCATTCATCGTATTTCAAGACCATTTGCTCTCTGATGTATCTAAAACTTATAATCCAAGTATAATTTTGAAACTATTGCTTAATTCCGGAGAAACATACATGTTTGTGATTCTCCCGCCAATTTGATTCTTTTTGTTTTGTGGATTTTCCCCGTTTTGAATATTTGGAACTGTGCTGGAGTCCGAATAAAACTGCGATTCATATTCACACTATTTTAATATCAAACATCCATTTTCGTATTTACCTGATTTGAAAGTTTAACGTTGCGGTTCCTCATTCACGCGATTTAAAAATCGTATCGCGATTCGTAGTCGCGCGATTTAAAAATCCAATATCGCGATTTCTATTTAAGCATTTTTAAAATTAATATCGCGATTCGTATTCCCGCGTTTTTAAAATCCAATATTGCTATTCGTATTTTCATACGTAATAATCATCCATTATTGTGATTCGTATTTCCTTAAGTTAATATTATCAAACTTCGATCATTATATTTATACGTGATTTAAAAACTATGCATTTCGATCATGCATCGCAATTCCGTGATTTTTTTCACGCGATTTAAAAATCCAATATCGTGATTATTAATTTTTTTTTTTTTTCGTTTCTAATATCGCGATTCTTATAAAAACTAAGTTTTTTCTTAAATTAGTGATTAGAACGGTGTGATATTCTTCATTTGTAGAAAATTTAATTATAATTTTAAATCTTATGAATCTTAATTTTAAATTTTATAAAATTATGTTAAACATGAATGGTAAATTGATGTCTTGATATAAACTTTTTTCACTAAAATCTTTTCAGTTTTTTTTTATTTTTAAACATGTATAATTACAGACAATATTTTGTATAGAATATGTTTAACGAAATCATTAATGTTTTAACCATTTCGGACGATAAGTTTTCATTAAGAATAAATCATTAATAGATAACTTAAATAAAAAAAAAATTTTTTTTACCTGATTATGAATATAAAGCTAATTGCTTTGCTTTTCGTTTTTCAAGGATAGACCAGAACAATTTCTATTTATTATGCAGCAAACAGCAATAAAAATAAGTCTAACTTACGTTGAGTAGCTGGGGAAAAAAAATCTAAAAGCAAATTAATATCGTGAAGTACCAGGCTCACCTGTTCAAATATTGATGACTGCAATGAAATGCAACTTACTGCAATTAGAGTAAGGGTCAGCAACATTTAACGATTAGGATAAAATTAATTGCACATATGTTAATTTTCTTCTTACTCTCTTTTTTTTTTCTCTTTCCTTTGTGTTTTACAAAATTTTCTTTTCAACTAAATTCATTAAAATATGAAATTTTTAACATAAAATGCCACATTAAGGATGCCAGTTAAGGGTTTTCGTAAATTTTATTTGATTTTTTATTATTCGTTTGTTTATTCCATCAATAGAATTCCACTCGGTCCTGATCTTAAATTATAAATAATTTTTGTTATGAATGTTCTAACATATCATAGGCTGAAGAACTGATCGTAAGTGTTACGAAATTAGAAATAATTGAATATTCCTGAACTAAGCACATCAAAAATAAAAATTCGAGTGTCAGAATAACACCATATTAAAAATATTGAAATTAGTAGAGATACCTAAAAAACAATAAAAAAAAATTACTTATAGTATTTTCGAGGAAATTAACAGAAATACAGCTATCTATATATTTTTAAAAAATATATCAGGCAGCTAATCACAATTAAAGGACCAAAGGGTTAATGGGTGGTGTTTTCCCTGAAAAATAAGATTTTTTCTGACAATTAGAAAATTTACTTACAATAAAGATGCGAGTACTCATTGTGTTTAAATGAAGCTTAATGTTCTTTCTAACATAAGGAATTTTCAATAATTCAGTCAAACATTGTCTCAAAGAAAAAGAAAGAACTTATCATAGAAGCAGAAAGTGATTGATGAAGGAAACTAATTTAGGCAGCAGGTAAATCAGAAACTTTCTATCAGCCAGGGTTCGTTGATATATACAGTAGAGCGCCAATTATCCGAACGTCCAATTATCCGAACTATGTCTGAATTCGTGAAGTTTAGAAAACTTTTTTTTCTGAATTTCTAAACCAGTAGATTTTCCGGCTGAAAAGATGCCAGGTTATGCAGCAGAAGAAATAGAAAAATAGAATGCTGGTGTCGAAACACTGAAAACGTCCCAGGATTTCAAGTTTGATGATGAAATTGTGAAAGAAAATTGGAACTCCTCAGAGGAAGAGATAGGTGATCAAGTTCAAGATAGTGGACCTTCTCATATAGAAGCATGCAATTCATTAGTTGTTGTTGTTCATTTACGTCGCACTAGAGCTGCACAATGGGCTATTGGCGACGGTCTGGGAAACATCCCTGAGGATGATCCGAAGACATGCCATCACAATTTTGATCCTCTGCAGAGGGGATGGCACCCCCGCTTCGGTAGCCCGACGACCTGCGCGCGAAGTCGAGCACTTTACGGTAGCACAGTTTAACGAGGACCAATACCGCACACCCTCGGTCCCTACGCAGACTGATCCAAGTGGATCACCCACCCGCACACTGACCGCAGCCAGTGATGCTTGACTTCGGTGATCTGATGGGAACCGTGTCTCTTTCAGCCGGGAGACACGGGAAGCAATTCATTAGATATTGCAATAAATTGGTTAGAACGTCAAAATGATATTGATCCAGTTCAGTTGATTTATTTAAAAAGATTTATGACTGCTCAAAAAAAGAGCATCTTTTTTGAAACAAAAGTCTTGGCTGAATTTCTTTGGCAATGGAAAACAAAGTAAAATGTGTCAAAATCAGTAATTAACAAAAAAAAAGTTAGCTGGAATGGAAAAAAAAGTAAATGAAAATGTAAAATAGAAAAGTAAAATGTAAAAAAAAGTAAAAAAAATAAATTAAAAATTAAGAAAAAAAACTTTTAAACTAAGCTATTTTAGATAGTACTGCCTGTCCTAAACCTGGAAAAAGTGTGAAGAGAAGTTAGGGCATAAATAATAATCATTAAACTTGATTTAAAGCAACTTTCCAATTATCCGAACTTTTCATTAACCGAACCACGTTCGATTCCGAGCAGTTCGGATAATCGGCGCTCTACTGTATCCGATATTTATTTTGAAATAAATATATATTTTCAGCAAAATTTCTAAAATATCCCCCACGTTATTTCAAGATTTCTTTTAAGCACTACACAAACTCATGCTACCATTCACACTATCTTTACAAAAATCTTGTTTTAGATTGCACCTGCCCCCACATACCCTCTACCTACCTAGAAAAATTCATTCTTAGACAGAACCTGTTCTCATTCCCCCACTTTTAAAGAAGGAAATAAACCCCTTCTATGATGAGTAAGTGGTCAAGGTAGATAATTTAGTAAATGATTCAATGGTAAATTACTCTGATTATCTAAGCATTTTAGAACCAATTGCAAATGCTTTAGATGCAGTTCAAGCAAATAAATGCACAATAGCACAATGTG